GGCAGGGCTGTATATCCTGCAGGCAGCTAGCCTAGAAATGGAACTAGTAACAATTATTTTGAGTGTAAGTATTTGGGATGCTTATATTTGTCCCAAGTGTCACAATATTTGCAACAGGCATATACTACTGAAAACATCCTTGTTTGTGTAAACAGTGCATTTTATCTGTGGCAGCCAGAGGTCTGCGTTCTTCAAGGAGGGAGAGGGGGTGTGGACTCAGGATATGCCCTGCAGGGAAAGCTGGGAGTCTAAGAAAGAGCAGGGGTGTTGCCTGGGCTGGGGGCTGCTGACTGGCAGGGCAGAGGGAGCTGGCATAGTAACAAGTCAAACCAGGCAGGGCAAGCCCGGACTCCAGACCAGAGGTTGACGGCTAGGTAAGGGGACATGGGTCGAGGCAGAGAGTGCACTGAGGCCTGCATCCACCATTGTAGCCGCGGGTGCTGCTGCCTGAGCTCCGAGTGCCTGACCCTTCAGGCCTCTGGGTTTTGCAGAGAAGGCCCTTCCTTCCTGCTCGTGTGAACAGACTTTCCATTCATCCTTCCATAGTCTGCTCTTCTGTTCTCCTTGGAACTGTCTCTACCTATCCAGGGAGTCATCAGTTCCTTCTTCTGGGCATCCATATTATTGTACACACCTGTTTAGGATATTTTTTTAAAGATTTATTTATTTGAAAGTCAGAGTTACACAGAGAGAGGAGAGGCAGAGAGAGAGGTCTTCCATCCGATGGTTCACTTCCCAGATGGCCATAATGGCTGGAGCTGTGCCGATCCAAAGCCAGAAGCCAGGAGCCAGGAGCTTCTTCCAGGTCTCCCACGCGGTGCAGGGGCCCAAGGACTTGGGCCATCTTCTGCTTTCCCAGGTCATAGCAGAGAGCGGGATCGGAAGCGGAGCAGCCGGGACTAGAACTGGCACCCAAATGGGATGCCGACACTTCAGGCCAGGGTGTTAATCTGCTGCGCCACAGCGCCGGCCCCGCCTGTTTAGGATATTAAAAGCAGTTATGTACATTTCTGTCCCCTGTGCCTGTCCAACTGTGAGTTCTTTAAGGAGCTTGGATCAAAGCTGTTGACAAAGCAATTGGATCCCCAGCTCCTACTCCTCAAAGCCAGCACTGCTGTGTCCTGCCTCAGTAACCCCTGGAGATAAGTTCCTTGATGAGGGTGAAACAGGTTCCCTGGGCAAAGGGGGCACCAAGTAGAGTTGCGGAGAGGATGGCCCATCTCAGCCTGTTTGCCTCAGCTCCCAGCGCAGTGGGCTGTACCTTATCTCTCCAGGCAAGAGGCTAGGAAATTCTGGGCAATCTGAGTAGCTGGAACTACCTGATGTCAACATTCCCAGATCATCCCACTGTGTGTGCAAAGCCCCGCCTCCATGCCCAGAGCTAATGTTCCTTGCCCAACTTGTAAAAGTGAGCAAGCAACCAAGTAGGAACTCTATCAGAAAAGAGAGGTGTTCTTACTTAAAAAAAATATATATATATATATATATATTTAATTATTTCCTTGAAAGAGACAGAGGAACACACACACACACACACACACACACACACACGTTTCCCATCCACTGGTTCACTCCCCAGATGATCACAGCGGCTGGGGTTGGGCCATTGCTGAAACCAGGAGCTCCACTTGGGTCTCCCATGTCGATGGCAGGGGCCCAAGCACTTGGGCCATCTGCTGCTGCTTTCCTAGGCCATTATCAGGGAGCTGGATTGGAAGTGGAGCAGCTGGGACATGAACCGGCAACCCCATGGGATGGTGTTATTGCAGGCCAACAACATTAGGGAATAAACAAACAAACAAAAAAATTGAAGGAAATGATGGTGAATAAGGAAACCAGTGCAAGAATGAGGGGAAGGAAAAACCATCAGATGAGTGGCAGCCAGGACCTGCAGGACCTGGACAGGAAGTGCAGCAGTCCAGGTGAAGACAGGGATGTCATTACCTGATGCCCATGGGGACATTCGTCACGTTGGATTACAAAGACCTACTCTCAAAAGTCACATCCTAAATCAGGACTATCTGTCACAAGAACTTCATCAAAATATGTGCCACAGTAACTTCAACAACTTGTGTCTTAAGAAGAAAGCTGTTGCACTCAGCTTTTCACTACTATGATGAAATATCTGACATAACTAACTCTACGAAGGGAAAAGGATCATTTAGTCACAGTCTGGGATATTCAAGTCCAAGACCGGGTGGCCGCATTAGCATGGCATCCAGTGAGGATGGAGGATGGCAGTGGAGGAGAAAAATCACAGCAAGCCAGAAAGCAATGGCGGGCCCAGACTCAGGCTTTGTAGCAGCGCTCACATGAGAACTCGAGAGGTCACATGAGAACTCCTTTCCTGGGGTGCACTTCCAGTGACCTCAGAACCTCCCACCAGGCCCTACCTCCTAAAGGTTCCAACACTTCCCAGGACCAAGCCTTTAACACATGGGCCTTTGGGGGACACCAAAGTAATTCTCAGACTGCAACACTCTCTACATGGGAATCAAAATCAAAAGAACTTGACTGAATATTTCCTTTATGCAAACAAGCCTACTGGGATTTGGTTAGCAGTGAATCCATAAATCAATTTGGAGAGAACTGACATATAAGCAATGTTGACACTTCCAACCTAAGGTTCATACTAAATCTACTACTCAAATTCATTTAATTACTTTCAGTGATCTCAGAGCTTTCCTGATGAAGACTTTCTGCATCTTTCATTAGACTTCCCCCTAGATATTTGGTATTTTTTATGCTATTATATGTATCATTTTCACTGGCTGCCCTATATGTACAACATGTGCTTACAGGGGCCGGCACCGCGGCTCACTAGGCTAATCCTCCGCCTTGCGGCGCCGGCACACTGGGTTCTAGTCCCGGTCGGGGTGCCGGGTTCTGTCCTGGTTGCCCCTCTTCCAGGCCAGCTCTGCTGTGGCCAGGGAGTGCAGTGGAGGATGGCCCAAGTGCTTGGGCCTGCACCCCCTGGGAGACCCGGATAAGCACCTGGCTCCTGCTGGATCAGTGCGGCGACCATTGGAGGGTGAACCAACAGCAAAAAGGAAGACCTTTCTCTCTGTCTCTCTCTCTCACTATCCACTCTGCCTGTCCAAAAAATAAAAAAATAAAAAAAGTTTTTATCTTCACTTACTCCTTTCCTGACACTCTTCCTTTTTAAAAGGAACATGTTTTAAAAATTCTCAATTGTTAAGTGAATAAAAGCAAGATGTGTTATGATATATATTGTATGACCCAATTTCTGGCTTGTACATGAAACTCTTACTGCTATATCTGGTGATGGGGTTTTGGGGGGATTGGTAGGGCATAAGGACTTTGAATTTTTACTTTCCTTCTGTAAGAATTGAACGTTTCTCTCTCTCTTTTTAAATAGTAGTCCACAGGTTATGTATTTACACATATTATATGGCAACGTCATAGGGTCCAGCAGCTCAGGCTCCTTTCCATGGGTTCTGACAAAGTGGGCTGCTTTGGGTGGAGCAGGCTGGTATTTCAGCTGAACCCACGTAGCTGTCTCTTGGGTTCCTGTATTTCTTGATCATTTTCCTTCACATCTTTCAGGAAGCTAGCTCAGCTGTTAAGAGTGCTTAATATGCTCATTATACACATTAATTCTTTTGGCAAGAAGCTTGCCCTTATTTCTAGCATGCTGGGTAACACCATACACTCTTCCAGGTTTGCCCTGGAAACATTTAAGGGGCCTTCCTTTCTGAACAGTACCCATTCCCTTACTGTCTCAATATCACCTTTCTTGTAGATGTGCATGTGTGCACCAAAGGAAAAACTCCATGTCTTCTAAAAGACCTAGAGAGCATGTATCGGGTACTCCTCTTTCCTTTTGTGTTCATCATGTTGGTGAACTCCTGGAAGATGGCAGTTGAAGGTTTCTTAACAAATGTGTATTACTTAAATACCTTTCCCCACACTATGCAATCCTTTCAAGCGGACCTTTTCACTGACACCCCCATTCCCATATCTGTATCTCTGCTCACAGCATGCTCTACCTTTTTCTTAAACATCTGTCTTGTCTGTTCCTCAAAGAACAGCACAGTTGCTAACAATTCTATAAGAAATTTCCAAGCTACTCAAAATTACATTGCAGTCTTCCTTCTCAATATTCCTACTCTAAACAACTGGGCATTTATTCTCTAATTTGTATTTGTTGACTTTTTCCAAATTTTAAGCATCTAACAGAATAAAGCATGCAGAAATTTATTTTGAACTCTCCAGCCTCATATAACACTCTTTTAAAATAATCACTAAGTATTTAAAATCTGTGACAGTTTCCTCACTATCTATATATTACTTTAAAAAAGCAGAACCATGTCACTTAGGTCCTAGGTGTTACGGCCTATATTTTCTTTCTTTTTTTTTTTTTTTTCTTTTTTGACAGGCAGAGTAGATAGTGAGAGAGACAGAGAGAAAGGTCTTCCTTTGCCGTTGGTTCACCCTCCAATGGCCGCTGCGGCCGGCGCACCGCGCTGATCCGAAGGCAGCAGCCAGATGCTTCTCCTGGTCTTCCATGGGGTGCAGGGCCCAAGCACTTGGGCCATCCTCCACTGCCTTCCCAGGCCATAGCAGAGAGCTGGCCTGGAAGAGGGGCAACCGGGACAGAATCCGGCGCCCCGACTGGGACTAGAACCCGGTGTGCCAGCGCCATAGGCGCCAGCCTATGGCCTATATTTTCTTTATTTCAGGATGTGCAGATGAATTTACTTTAAATTCACATTTTGTACATGTGAAATTTCCCATTCAAGAAAAGCCTAAGGAATTGAGATCTGATTTAGTCACAGTTGTTACAGTTAGCAGAACACTTACTTAAATCAACTAACCACTCCTGCCTAATCTCTCCACAAACAAAAGAAATGAAAAACAAACTAGGATCTTCAACAGTTCAGTAGCAAGAGCATAAGAATATTATTCCCAAATGAAACTTGTATAACTTAAATAAAATTTAATAAAATACTATTCTGGATTAAAGAGGAAAACACATATTCACTGTAATAATTTTATGTTTAAGAAAAATTTTAATTTATTTTTATAGAACATTTCAGATTCCCTCATGTTGCAGCAAAGCAAAATGTACATATACTAATTTAACCTACACATCAAGTCCCAAATTCCCAATCTTAGATATCAAGTTGCAAAAAGCAAGTGCTGACTTCTATAGGTAGCATTTTTTAAAAAGTCCTCAGCACTTAAGTGAAATGAGACGTTAATCAAAAAAGAGACTTAATTCCACAGGGCACGCTTTCCCAAACAGCAATTAATTCAGTCAAGTCTGTGATTCCAAGCTCCAGTGACAGTGTTCTGCTTGAAGCAGACAAAACAAAGGCAGTTAATGCCAAAGCTGTATATTTCAATATGTACAGTATTTTTGAACTGTATTCAATTTTTAGTTTGTTTTGGAGTATAATGAAACAAAAGAATTAGGTCTCAATCCACTTTGAATATTGCAGTTATTGTAATTTTTTTTTCTGGACACAAGGTACATTACAACACTGGTGGTCTCGAGTCAACTTCCCACTAATTGATTCAGCAAAAGCTTACTTCCTTCAGTTATAACTCTGATTAAGAAACACATACATTTTAACATAAGAAAATTCTGTACTTCCAGTTTCAAAAAGTAGACAGTTCTATTTAATATGAGTTTACATACACATTTAAGTTTCTACAGCTTCATGCCTTAAGAGGAATTGTGATTTCAGAAGTATCATTCACAGACCAGCATCATGTATTTATACTTGAGTTTCATACAGTATAATGTTATAAAGTGTAAATGGCAAAAATAATCAAATAACATAATTTTACAAAATTCAAGTTTCCAGTGATCTTAAAAAAGTATAATTTAGTTCACAGAGATATTGTTCTAGTTATTAGAAAATCCTAAAGTTATATGAAAAAAATTAAAAATGTAATTTTAATAATTTCAACCTTGTAATTAAACACAGCCAAAACGAAAATAAAAGGCTGGTCTAGCATAAGTAATCAAGTCAAGGGGTTTTACAACCTTGAGCCACTATTTGGAATCTACTTTAGCTTTTACATAATTTTTACAGTCTTATTAACACCATTTTTATTAAGAAGAAAGAAATGACCTTTTGAAATCATTGGCACCCAAAATGGCACTTAAGGACAAGAATCACAACTAGGAAAAAAATGAATCTTGGCAAGCACAATTTCTCTCAAAGAATGAAGAATGTCATATAATTAATACACAATGGAAGCAATCATTTAGAAATGTTGGGAAGCTCATATTTCTTTATTTTTATTTGTGCATTACTAACAATCTAAGGTAAGCATTATATTCACTTTCAAAAGCAAAGAAGGAAAGTAAAAAATAAAACAAGAAAAACACAGCATGGAGCATTCCAGGAGTTTGTTTGTTCTTTTTTTTTTTAAGTAAAAGATTCTCGTCTTCCCTTTCCTTTGGGCACACTGTCTCACTTCGGTTCTCCACTTTGTTACAAAAATACAAAACCAAAAACAAATCTCTGCTCAAAGTTGTCATACTCAGTGAAACCACTGAGATTTGCTTATGATTTTTTTTCTACTTTCCCAGCTACTCAGTCCCTAAAATCTAAATAGTTCAGTGAAAAATTTTTTGCATTTGCTTGATGACAGCCCCTAATAACCTACATTGAAAAGGGAGCTAAAATCACTGGCTGCAGTCAGGATTGTCAAGTTTCCTGTTTTATTATTATTATTATTAAATATAACTATAACAGACAAAAGCTCCAGCTGGAAATTCACACAATTCAGAAACATGTTGAAAAACATCACAATCTTTAAGATTTCCAAGTAGACGTTCCCAACTCCAATAGGAAAACTATGGAGCGGCTAATTAACAAGTGAGAATAATTAGCCATTCAAATTCTGTTGGAAATGTTTGAATCTGTATAAAAGCTTCCTCTTATATAGGGACTGGAGTATCTGAGTCCCCAAGCTAGCTAGCTAGATCATGGAGAAAGAATTCTTTTGACTAGAGTTTACTCCGAAACCAACTTTCCCAAATCCTTTCTTTTCCCCAAAAAGTGTCCAATCACACTTCAAGAAGGGGAAGTACTGAGGCAGCGTGTTTTACATGGTACTGCACCCTTTAAGAAACGTAACCGGGAAACTTTTCACACACACTTAAACTGATGTATTTGTAGACATATTTATCTGTGTTGAATAAGATACACTGTGAGAAAGTGTATTTTGGTTCAAAGGAGAAGCTGAAATAACTGTAGTGCGATCATAAACCCATTAGAGAACTAGCATAATTTAAAAGGTCAGTATATGTTTTAACAACTTTGATATTTTTTGTTATTTGGGCTTAATTTCACATTCTTTTCCTTTCTTCTTTTGGTTTTGCATCTCTGAGGGCACTTTTTACTTGTAAGCTGTGTTTGAGACTATACAGAATATGCTAATACAACAATATAAATATAAATAACCTATAAGCACTATCATCTGTACACGTATGGACAGACTCCAGCCTCAGACGACTGATGTTGTACTTTCAGGATTCACCGGCATGAGTCTAGATGCGTTCCTCAGGTCTTGGAGTTGCTTGGCAGGTTTCCTCACACCTTCTTCAAACCTTTTCTCCACCACAGGGAGCACCGTTTCATGTAGAAAGGACGCATTCTGTCGGATAAAAGCCTTCTTCTCTGGATCCGGCTCGCACTGAAGGCTATAATTCACATGCTGGACGGCAACCAGAATGATTTCCACCAGGCTCTCCAACAGTACCATGTGCAGCTCTGGGAAATACAGCTTTAAGGCCTCTTCCAAAAATCCCACGGTCTGTTTGGTGAAAGCGACCACTGTGTAACTTAGGTTCACCCAGCAGTCATCCCCTGTATACTGCTCAAAGTTACTCACCCCGCAACTTCTCATCTCTTCTTTGAGCTTGCCAGGGCCTCTGGAGTCATCAAGTTCATCCTCCTCCACATCTCCTCCGAGTTGCGATGTTTGGTGGCTTCAATGATGATTTCTTTGTAACTGTGCAAGGCCCCTTGGATGTCTTTCACCAGAAGGGCACGGATGATGAAGGTGAGGTCTAGTCCAATATCACCCACTCCTTAGCCACTTTGACGCACTCTGCCGCCGTGGACAGGCTCTCTTTGCTATCAAACACCTGCTTGCTGAAAGCATCTACGAACATGCCCATGGCTGATCTCGCCCAGACCACAAAGGCAGAGTAGCAGCCACTGTCGGTGCCGGCGACATCTGTCTCAAATTCTCTGGCAGTCTCAAGAAGACACGTAAAGAAGACATGGCACAGCTTATGAATATAGAGTAAAGTGGCACCTTCAATGCGAAGCTGACGGATGGCCGTGTGCACGGCTGCCGCTCTGTTTCTCAAAAACAGCTCGAAAGCCTTTGTGCACTGGCCAAGCCGGATTAGCTGAGAAACCGCCCTGCGAGTAGCCTTGGGCCCACCTCGCAAGGAACGATCTGGGGACAGTTCAAAAACCAGCACCTCCGTGAGCTGCCGGACACGCTCATCCACCTTGGCCCTGAGTTCTTTTACAGGAGGTGGGCTGGGCTTGTCTTCTAGGTAATGATTCAATTTATCTAGCAGGTCAACGGCCCCCTCAAAGTCCCTCTGAGCAATGCACACATCCAGGTCTTCAGGTAACTCCTGGATCCACTCCATCGATAGGTCCACCTTCTCTTCCTCCACCTCGGGGACAGCTGGCTCTTCGTCTTCATCATCCTCAAACGGGTTCGTGGCCTTGGAGGTCACTTGGGGAGGCCCTCTAGAGGCCGCTGCTTCCTCCTGTTCCCTTCGTCTTTTTTCACTGAGGGCCCTCTTGGTTTCTTCCAGCACCTCCAGCCACTCTCGTTTTATTTTGGCATTTTCTGCCTGAAAAATGCGACTCTCGGGGAACATCAGCAGCTTGAACATGTCCTTCATGGGTGGGTTGTCCTTGACATTGACCACGGCCAGGCCATCTAGGGGATAGAGAGCATTGTAGCGATACATCCCCCGCCGCTGGGGCAGCCAGGTGGCCACCAGCAAACAGTCGTTCATGAGAAAGCCGTGCACCCGCTGCAGCTGGGCCATGTGATCCGCTTCGTATTCCACCAGGTCCCCGTTGTACACCAGGTACTGCCCCGGGGTCTCCAGCAGGTGCCTGCAGCCTTCCACCTTTTCAAGCAGGGTGGTGAGAGTGCGCTGCTTTCCTTCCTCGCCCGGGCCGGAACTGTCGCGCGAGGCGCCCCCGGGGCTGGGAAAAAAGCCGGCCTGGCCTCGGAGGTGGTCTCGGCCCCCAGCGCCACCTGCCCCCTCCTCCCCGCCCGAGGCGGCGCCGGCCCCCGCGGCGGCGGCCGCGGCCGGCAGCAAGGTGAGCGGGATGCTCTCCAGGCTGCTCTTCTGTTCCGTCAGGAGATGGCTGAGCTGGTACATCTCGCTCTCCAGGTAGGAGATCTCGCGGGCCGTCTCTATGAACTGCCGGTAGTTCTGGTAGACGTTGCGTTTCAGGTTTTGCGCTGTCTCCTCCGCCAAAGCCTGGATGCGCTGCCGGTGCTCCTGGAGGTCCCGGTCCCCGTCCGACTGCTGCGAGAGCTGCTTCACGTACAGCCGTGCCTCAAAGCTCCCTGATTCTAGCTGCCGCCGCAGGCGGCTCGCTCCACTGTCCGACATCGCCATCGCCATTTCCGTCTGGGTCTCAGGCAGTCGCTGTCACTGTCGCCACGGCTGTCGAGACCCACCCAACTCCAGCCGAGCTCCAGGGCTTAGGAAGCAAGATACGAGCAAGACGAGTACGCCTGCGCCCGGGTCTGAGCTGCTCACACTGCGCCTGCGCAAGCGGCTGAGCGCAGACCGTACGACTGCGCAGGATTGCCCGCGAACTAGAGCGCACGCGCAGGAGGAGTTATTGCGGAAGCGGGGAGAGGGCGAGGCTTAAGTACTGCGCATGAGCAGAGCGTGACGTTTGGGTTTGAAGTTCCTGGTGAAGCGTAGACGCGTTAACTAGCTTCCTGTAACCGTCCTCGGGCCGAGCCCCGGGTTCTGCTCCAGTTTCGAGGTGTCACGGCTAGTTTCTTGTTTAAGCCCTAGAATCTTGCCGTCGGAGTTCGGAGCAAACTCAGTTCTGGTTCCTGTTCTCAGTTCAGTTTTCCCCGAGTTCTCGCGAGATTGGCAGAGCGACCCCGAGAGCAGCCCGAGAACCGGTATCCTAGGAGCTTGAAGCCTCTGAAACGTTTTTGCGGCCTGAGTCGGGAGTCAACCTAACGCCAGTGAGTCCCGACTGGGATCCTGGCAGTGATGGATGAGGACCTGGTTTTGGCACTTCAGCTTCAGGAGGAGTGGAACTTGCAGGTTGCGGAGCGCGATGGCGCCCAGGAGCCCCTGTCGCTGGTAGACGCGTCCTGGGAGTTGGTGGACCCCACGCCGGATTTGCAGGCCCTGTTTGTGCAGTTCAACGACCGGTTCTTCTGGGGCCAGCTGGAGGCCGTGGAGGTGAAGTGGAGCTTGCGCATGACCCTGTGAGTCCCGAGCCCCGCGGGGGGAACCGAGGCGGAGGGGGCCGCACTTCTTGCCTGCCAGTCCCAGGGGAGTTAAACCAGAGCGTTTGGCTTTGGACGCTTGATGTGTTTCTCCCTTCTTATCCAGTTCAAACAGCTAAGAACGCTATGTGGCTCACGCTACTGTGGTTGGAATTAGAAAGAACATAATGAGGGGGGAAAAGACCAAAAGAAGAAAAAAAAAAAGACAACTCGCCCCACTGTAAAGTCACACGTTTCTAACCTTCCTGTGCTAGTGCTCTAGAAAACAAGAGGGACAAGCACTCAGATCTTTCCAGAAAGGCAGCTGAGGACGCAGAAAAACTGCCGAAGGCTGCGTGATGGCCTAGTTAACAAACCGCCACTTGGTGTAGTGAGCCAGTGTTTTGGAATGGGGAGGGAGTTGAGGTCTCCATATTTCTCGACTCGGGAGCTCTTTGGTGATGCTTCTAAAAGGATCGCCTCTCTACACATGAAGTTTGAGAGCTGCTGATTTGAGTTGATAAGCTGCACATTATCAGAGTTAAGTTTCAGTTACCACTTTGCCATGCCTCTTTTTCTGACTGAGAAAGACAGAGATTTTCCATTTGCTGGTTGTCTTCCTAAATATCCACAACAGGGGGTGGAGTGAGGTTGGGGGTGGGGACGGGGTAGGCCAGATTGAATGCAAGAGCTAGGAACTCCATCTTGGTCTCCAACACAGGTGACAGAAACTCAGGTAGTGGGGCCATCATCTGTCTCCCAGGGGCATTAGCAGGGAGCTGGTCACTGAAGCAGGGCTGAACCTGCCGTGTCACAGTGCCTGCCCCCCATGGTTGTTTTTGATTTGATACAAAACAACCTACAGTAGGACAGATTAAGGTGTGATACAAAATCATGTTTAAAGTACAAATCTCCTTCATATATGCTGCTGGACATCTGCTTGTTAACCACCACAAACTGATGATAGCTTGTGGGGGGAAGAGGCTTAGAGTAGAACAGGATTGTCCTGGGTGAGCTCTTGCATGCAGCCTGCAATGGTGTGGGAAGCCATTGCTCTTCATGAACAGAGATGAAGCACTACTGTCTGTTCCCAAAGAGGATATACTTTCCAGAAAGCTCTCTCCCAATAGAGTGTATAAGAATCTGTTTTGTTTCTCTTTTGTATATGTCTGCTTGATAACTGTAACCCATTTTTGTGGTGGTTGTTTTCCAGGTGTGCTGGCATATGCAGCTATGAAGGAAGTGGTGGAATGTGTTCCATCCGTCTTAGTGAACCCCTTTTAAAGTTGAGACCAAGAAAGGATCTTGTAGAGGTATTCTTTGAGTAAACCTGATTCTTAGCTCAGTAATTTACAGATGCTTGTCACTGATTTAGATTGCTTTGAACTAACTTCTACATTTAAAAAGAAACATTTTTCTCATAGAATGCACTTGAGTTATGGGGCAAATAATAATGAGTACCTTCTACTTTTACAGTGCTTCAAAGTTAAGAAAGGATTTTAGGTATATTATCTCGTATCTTATTTAATCTTTATGATAGCCCTATGTGTTGTGATCTTCAATATTTAAAAAAGCTTTTTTTTTTTTTTTGAAAGGCAGAGTTACAGAGAGAGGGAGAGAGAGATTGATTGATTGATTGATCTTCCATCTGCTGGTTCGCTCCCTAAATGACTGCAACAGCCAATGCTGGGCTAGTCCAAAGCCCAAAACTTGGAACTCCATTTGGGTGTCCCACATGGGTGGCAGGGGCCCAGGCATTTGGACCATCTTGCACTGCTTTCCCAGGTACCTTACCGGGGAGCTGGATCAGAAGTGGAACAGTTGAGATTCAGACTGGTGCTGCTGTGGAATGCTGGTGTCACAGGCAGCAAGTTTACCTGCTGTGCCGCAGTGCCGACCCCATCTTCATTTTAAATGAGGAAGTGAAGGTTTAGAGGCGTTAAGTAATTTGTTTAAGTTCCATATTTAGATGCAGAGAACCCCCCCAGAATCCAGGTTTTCCCTTTGAGACACAAAATTTTTCATTATCCTCTGTTAAGTCACCATGTTGCTGAGTTGGCAGCTGAAGTCAGCCGGAGGGCACACTTCATATCTAGGGCTGTGATCACTCTTGCTAGCAAAACAGAGCAGAAGGACCACTGTGCATACTTTAGGCATCTACTAAATGTAACTTAGTTTGGATTAGGCAGACACCCAGTGTGCTCCCAGTGGGATTTGTCCTGCTGCAGTGATATCCCTTGGGAAATCTACACAAAAGAGCCTGCAGTGGTAAATATGTTAAACATAAACGGGCCTGAAGGGTGCTATTTTTAAGCATAGTAAAAGGTAATAGGTTTCACAGTATGGAAGTATTTAACACTACTGAATTAGTTACATAAAAAGGCTAATATGGTAAATTGTATATTATGTGTTTCTTTTTTGATCACATTTTGTGAAAAAAAAATAAGTAGCTGCTAAATATAAAATGGCACAACAGAAATACTTGGTTAATGAAAAAGGAGGAATAAAGAACAAAGCCCAGATGACAAAGAGGAAAGTAGGCATAAACAATATCCATTATTACATTAAATGTAAGCAAGCTAAACACTTCAGTTAAAGATATGGAATAACAAAAAGGTTGAGGGCTGTTGCTGTGGCATAGTGGGTTAAGTCTCCGCCTGCAGCACCAGCATCCCATATGGGCTCTGGTTCATGTCCTGGCTGCCCCACTTCCGATCCAGCTTCTTGCTAATGGCCTAGGAAAGCAGTGGAAGATGGCCCAAGTCCTTGGGCCCCTGCACCCACATGGGAGACCTGGGTGAAGGTCTTGGCTCCTGCATTCGGCCTGGCCCAGCCCTGGCTACTGTGGCTATTTGGGGAGTGAACTAGCGGATTGAAAATACCCCTCTCTGTAACTCTTGACTTTCAAATAAATAAATAAATCTTAAAGAATAAAAAAAAGGTTGAACATCTCTAATCTGAAAATCCAAAATGTTCTAAAAATCCAAGACGTTTTTAGTACCAGCATGTTGCTACAATGGAAAATTCCACACCTGACTTGATGCCACAGCAGAAACTCAAGTACCCTAAAAACAGCATGCAAAATTACCTTCAAGCTATATGTCATAAGGTATATATGAAACATAAATTAATTTTGTGTTTAGACTTAGCTACTAACCCCATGATGTCTCATTATGTAAGTGAAAATATTTCAAAATCCAAAATAGTTTTGGTCACAAGCATTCCAGATAAGGGATACTCAACCTATATTAGATTAAAAGAGGCGTAATTATAGTAAAGATGTACACATGTTAAGAGAATGGAAAATTATGTCATCCAGACATTTTGCAACAGAAAGCTATTATGGCTATATTAATATCTGACTAAAAAGCGGCTGGTGTTGTGGCATAGCAGGTAAAGCCTCTACCTATGATGCCAGCATCCCATATAAGCGTCGGTTCATGTCCTGTCTGATCCACTTCCAATCCAGCTCCGTGCTAGTGGCCTGGGAAAAGCAGGGGAAGGTGGCCCAAATGCTTGAGCCTTTGCCATCCATGTGGGAGAACTGGAGGAAGCTCCTGGCTCCCAGCTTGTGGCCATCTGGGGAGTGAACCAGTGGATGGGAGATTCTCATTCTCTCTCTCTCTCTCTCTCTCTGTTTCTTCTTCTCTTTCTGTAACTCTGACTTTCAAATAAAATAAATATTAAAAAAAAAAAAGACTAAAAAACCTCAAGGACACAAGTTTTAGTAGAAAGGGGACATTTTGTAATGATGAGAGTCTATTAAACAAAAACATGACTGTGAAAGGTAGTATAGTTTTAAATTCTTTGAAACATAAATTTGGAGGTGCAAAAACACAACTATTTTAGTAATTCAATAAGCAGAAAAAATAGTACACATAAAACAAACCAAAAGTTTGAACAGCGTTATTAACCAAATAAGCCTTATAAGGTGCCCTAATTAGAAGACTATCTGTGTGATAAATGTGTATTAAATAAATTATTAAACATATGAGCTTTTTTTTTTTTAAAACTGCTGAACGGGAGGATTAGAAATGGGTGATAGTCCTGTCAGGGGAGCATTTCCTGTTGGCAGAAAGCCATAGTATCAACCTGGTCAAGAACAGAGGAAGAATGTCTTGCAAATAGTTAATTGAATCATAATGAATGGGATTCAGAAAATGAAAAGAAGTCAAGATTTATAAATATAGATTTTATTAGTACTACCACCACTCTTACCATTCACTTTTCAGCACCTTTTGTGTGCCTGACTTTGAACTAGATTAATTGTAGCCGTTACCCTAGAGCAGGTAGGAACTTTTCCCACATCTCATTCTTAATAAATAATAGATCCTTGGTTTAGGCTCTAGTCCCTGGCTCTAAAGGTCTTATTCTGTCCCCTGTATCACTCAGCCTTATAGCTGTTACTACTGATCATTAAAATCTGGAGAGCTGAGCCTTAAAGGACAGATTGGACTATGGACAAGAAGAGATGGTAGACTACTCATGGCAGAATGTAAGGGAGTTTTTTTTTTTTCCTTTTTTTTTAATATTATTTATTTAATTGAAAGTCAGAGTTACACACACAGTGAGAGAGAAGTCTTCTATCCAATGGTTCACTCCCCAGTTCACTGCAACAGCTGAAGCCAGGAGCCAGAAGCTTCTTCCAGGTCTCCCACGTGGGTGCAGGGGCCCAAGGATTCAGGCCATCTTCTGCTGCCTTCCCAGGCCATAGCAGAGAGCTGGATTGAAACTGAAGTAGCCGGGTCTTGAACCAGCGCCCATATGGGATGCCAGAGCTTCAGGCCAGGGCGTTAACTCGCTATGCCACAGTGCTGGCCCCTGTAAGGGAATTTTATGAACAAAAGAGAACTCGTGACATATTTACGACCAGAAATTGTTGCCTTTGACCAGATAGAACATTAATGGGAAACAAGTATGTTGGGACCACGTTATAGAGCTTGACTCTAGCTAAATGTGGAAAGCAGTAGGTATATAAAGCTAGAAATGTTTTGTATGGTGTCATGTATGATTTTCAAAATGTGTTAAATGTTTAACTGAACACAAAATCAGCACCCTAAATTCGTTTCTCCTTTATAAGAAAATTGTCAGTGTTTTAAAAGGTTGGGAAAGTTTTGAAATGTAGAGTGGCCTTTGTTGAGTACGTATCTTTTGAATAGAATGTCATTTACTTGAAAAATAAAGTTCTTTTTAAGAAATACAGTTAGGGCCGGTGCTGTGGCTCAATAGGCTAATCCTCCGCCTGTGGCACCGGCACACCAGGTTCTAGTCCCAGTCAGGGTGCCAGATTCTGTCCCGGTGGCTCCTCTTCCAGTCCAGCTCTCTGCTGTGGCCCGGGAAGGCAGTGGCAGATGGCCCAAGTCCTTGGGCCCTGCACCCACATGGGAGACCAGGAGGAAGCACCTGGCTCCTGGCTTCGGATCAGCAGCCGTGGTGGCCATTGGAGGGTGAACCAACAGTAAAGGAAGACCTTTCCCTCTGTCTCTCTCTCTCTCACTGTCCACTCTGCCTGTCAAAAAAATAATAATAATAATACAGTTAATAATTTTAAAAGGGACATTTTCATAATGACCATGATAAAATGTGTAATTTTCCCCATTTTTCTGTTCAACCTAATTTTATAAGACTAAAATTCATTATTGCGAGTCTAGTTCTTCTATGAAAATTATGCTTTAAAAATTCTGGAAGATTTTGAAGAAAGTATGCTTTTGAAGATTTTTATGATTTTTAGTTTTTCAAAAAAGCATATTTGTATTTTTTAGAGCAAAAAGGCTTAGTAATCCTGAATGCTTTCTAAAATTTTGCACATAAACTTCTCTATCCTTGAAGTGAAATAAACAGTAGGTTTTATTGTGTGTTTAAAATTTTACATGAATTGAAACCCTAAGACTAGAATCTTGTTCTATGCTTGTCCTTCTCTGTCCTGAGCTCCCTGCCTACCATAGGAACTATCATTAGATCCTTAACTTTTTCTTTCATTTCTCTGTTTTACAAATACTTCCATTCATTTACTATTCCCCTCTACCACACACTATATATATAAAAGATTTATTAATTTATTTGAAAGGCAGAGAGAGAGAGAGAGAGATCTTCCATCTGCTGGTTCTCTCCTCAGAGAGAAGTTGTTGCCGGGAGTTGTGCTGATCTGAAGCCAGGAGCCAGGAGCTTCATCCGGGTCTCCCACGCAGGTGCAGGATCCTACTGCTTTTCCAGGCCATAGCAGAGAGCTGGATCAGAAGTAGAGCAGCAGCTGGGACTGGAACCAGCACCCTTATGTTACCCTTATGTTATGCTGACACTGCAGATAGTGGCTTTACCTGCTACCCCACAGTACCGGCCCCCACACAATAAATTTTTTAAAGATTTATTTATTTGAGCCGGCGCCGCGGCTCACTAGGCTAATCCTCCGCCTAGCGGCGCCGGCACACCGGGTTCTAGTCCCGGTCGGGGCGCCGGATTCTGTCCCGGTTGCCCCTCTTCCAGGCCAGCCCTCTGCTGTGGCCAGGGAGTGCAGTGGAGGATGGCCCAGGTGCTTGGGCCCTGCACCCCATGGGAGACCAGGAAAAGCACCTGGCTCCTGGCTCCTGCCATTGGATCAGCGCGTTGCGCCGGCCGCAGCGCGCCGGCCGTGGCGGCCATTGGAGGGTGAACCAACGGCAAAGGAAGACCTTTCTCTCTGTCTCTCTCTCTCACTATCCACTCTGCCTGTCAAAAAAAAAAAAAAAAAAAAAAAAGATTTATTTATTTGAAAGGCAGTTACAGAAAAAGAGGACACACACACACACACACACACATCATCCATTTACTGTTTCACTCTCCAAATGGCCACAATAGCTGGAGCTGGGCTGGTCCGAAGCCAGGAGCTTCTTCTGGTCTACCATGTGGGTAAAGGGGCCCTAGCATTTGGGCTATCTTCTGCTTTCCCAGGGACCTTATCAGGGAGCTGGATCAAAAGTTGAGCAGCCAGGACACAAACTGGTGTCTGTATAGAATACTGGCATCACAGGCGGTGGCTTTACCCACTACACCACCCACTACACCAAATGCCAGCCCCTGTACTTTATCTTTTTCCTAAACTTTGGAATTTCCTCCAAATAATCTCTTAGAACTTTTCAGTTTTTTTGGCTGCATAGAATTCCATCTTGTAGATGTACTATAGTGCATTCAACCGAGCTTCTGTTGCTAAACACTTGAGTTATTTCTAATCTTTTGCCATTATAAACAGTGCCACAAAAAATATGCTTTGCATATATGACCTTTCATGCTAGTCTGGGTATTGCTGGCTCAAAGGATAAATGAATTTGTAATTTTGCTAGATACCACCAAATTCTCCACAGAGGGTGTACCATTTCACACTTTGCCAGCAAAGTATGGTGAAGTTTATTTTCTCTTAGCTTTACTAACAATGTCAAACTTTAGGAGTTTTGCCAATCTTGATAAGCAAGAAATAGTATCCTAATATACTTTTTTTTTTTTTTTTTTTTTTTTTGACAGGCAGAGTTAGACAGTGAGAGAAAGAGAGAAAGGTCTTCCTTTTTCCATTGGTTCACCCCCCAAGTGGCCGCTACGGCCAGCGCGCTGCGCTGATCCGAAGCCAGGAGCCAGGTGCTTCCTCCTGGTCTCCCATGTGGCTGCAGGGCCCAAGCACTTGGGCCATCCTTCACTGTCTTCCTGGGCCACAGCAGAGAGCTGGACTGGAAGAGGAGCAACTGGGACAGAATCTGGTGCCCCAACTGGGACTAAAACCTGGGGTGCTGGCGTTACAGGTGGAGGATTAACCAAGTGAGCTGCGGCGCCGGCCCTAATATACTGTTGATTCATATTTCTCTTATAAAAGAAGTTGAGCAGGTTTTCATATGTTTATGGGTCACTTATGCCTCATGAACTCTGTAACCTTTGTCCATTTTAAAATGGAAGTGTTATTTCTCTTTTCTCATTAGGAACCCTTTATAATATTAGTAATTAATAACCTATGGTATGAATTACATGTATATTTTTCTGAGTTTCTCTTTTCATATTACTTAATAAATTTTTTCCTATCAGAATTATAAAGTTTTTGTTGTAGAATTCATTTATATTTTCTTCTGTGTTTTGATTAATAGAAGCCTTCCTGGACAAAGAAGTTCTTAACCTGGGAGCTACGAAGCTTCAGATGTTATGTGCAAAGTTTTGAATGTGTGCTTACATAAGCTTTCTTGAAAGGTGGTTCATGTCTTTTATCAGTTTGAGCCCGTGATCAAAATGATTGTTTTCTGTTTCAGACCCTCTTGCATGAAATGATACACGCCTATTTATTTGTGACTAATAATGATAAAGACCGGGAAGGACATGGTCCAGAGTTTTGTAAACATATGAATCGCATCAACCACCTGACTGGAGCCAATATAACGGTGTGTAAAGCCCTATGTATTTATGATATTTAGTAGCTATTAATTCAGTAGCTCCTGAGATTTAATTTAAATATAGGAATAGCAAGAAACAAATATTGTGTTTGAGGATTTGCAGCAGTGAATGACAGTCCTAGAGTAGAAGATGCTGATTGTTTTGTCTAAGCTTACGTGGTAGAAGGGCAGCAGAGCAGCAGTGTCCCTGAGACCTCTGACTTCCTATAGGTCAACATTTAAAAAAAAATTAACTTATTTATTTGAAAGGCAGAGAGACAAATAGAGTTGTTGTCATTGTTTCACTCCCTAAATGCCTATAACAGCCAGGGCTGGGCCAAGCCACAGCCTGGAGCCTGGTACTCAATCCAGGTTTCCTACGTGGGTAGCAGGAACCCAGTTAAGCTATTACTGTTGTCTCCCAGGCAGCAGAGTCTGCATTAACAGAAAGCTGGCGTTAGGATTGGGATGTGGGAATTGACTCCTAAATACTCTGATATGGAAGGCAGGTGTTCCACCAGAGACTGACCTCTTAGGCCAAACACCTGCCCTGTAGGTCAACATTTTATGCATAGGTAATTCAGGCCTGCAACACCTCTCCTCTGGAATGTTAAAAGGATCTCTGAGGGGGCCGGCGCCGCGGCTCACTAGGCTAATCCTCCGCCCAGCGGCGCCGGCACACCGGGTTCTAGTCCCGGTCGGGGCGCCGGATTCTGTCCCGCTTGCCCCTCTTCCAGGCCAGCTCTCTGCTGTGGCCAGGGAGTGCAGTGGAGGATGGCCCAAGTGCTTGGGCCCTGCACCCCATGGGAGACCAGGAGAAGCACCTGGCTCCTGGCTCCTGCCATCGGATCAGCGCGGTGCGCCAGCCGCAGTGCGCTGGCCGCGGCGGCCATTGGAGGGTGAACCAACGGCAAAAAGGAAGACCTTTCTCTCTGTCTCTCTCTCTCTCACTGTCCACTCTGCCTGTCAAAAAAAAAAAAAAAAAAAAGGATCTCTGAGGTTATATTTGAGAGATTATAGATTTTTTTTTAAAGATTTTATTTATTTTGGGAGGTAGAGTTACAGACAGAAAGGGAGAGAGAGAGAAAGGTCTTCATTCACTGGTTCACTCCCCAAACAACCTCAATGGCCAGAACTGAGCTGATCTGAAGCCAGGTGCTTCTTCCCAGTCTCCCACTTGGGTGCAGGGCCATCTTCTGCTTTCCCAGGCCATAAAAAGAGCTGGATCGGAAGAGAAGCATGCAGGACACGAACTGATGCCCTTTTGGGGTGCCGGTGCTTCAGGCAGAGGCTTAGCCCACTATGTCACAGCACAGCCTCTGTAGTTTCTTTCAGTCCATCGTATATTCTGGTAGTATTTCATGTGTCACTTCCTTCACCAGAAATCTTTTTCATTCATATCTCTGCATAGTATTGTAGCAGGTGGCAAAGCCTGGGGTCAAAAAAGCATGAGCCGTCAGACTGCTGGGGTTCAAATGCGCCTCCACTAATGATTAACCTTGTGACCTACTTAGCTCTTCTAGGTCTTATTTTACTCACATGGCAGATGGGGGGTGATAACAGTACCTATGTATTGGCGCCTTGTGAGGAGAAAGAATTAGAGGAGAAAACACATGCCAAACATTTTAGCACAATTTCGGCACTAATTAAATAGTCATTTTTATTGTATTGATTTTATTAATTATTAAATAATCATATTTTTCATATCCCCAACCCCAACTCTCCTGCTTGTGTCCTGTGTTTCTGTTTAACTGAATTTTTACCTCCCTGCCCTCCTCATGTGTGTCCCTTCCTTAAAGTGTGCTCTTTCTTCTAATTTGTATCACAGTGTCCTTCATCATTCCAGTGGGATGTAACTTCTCCCTCTTATCTCAACAGAGAAATTAACCTTTCACAATGTTTATTTTACTTTTATAAAAATAAACATCCTGAACATAGGATAGCTTTTACTCTTTCTTATGTATATCTAGGTAAAGATGTAACGTACCCTTCATGAGATTAGCAAGTATTAAATTGAACTGAGTAGAATATAAATTCCTACATAGATTAAATTCTGTGTGTGTGTGTGTGTGTGTGTGTGTTTTACAAAATTTTATTCATTTATTTGAGAGAGAGAGTTCTTGTCTACTGGTTTACTCCCTAAAGGATTACAATGCTTGAGGCAGGATCAGGGCCAAAGCTAAAAGCTGGGAATGCAATCCAGGTGTCCCACAAAGGTGGCAATTACTTGAGCCATTAATCACTGTCTCCTAGGGTCTATATTAGCAGGAAGTGGAGCGAGAAGCCAGAGGGGGGAGTCAAGCCAGGCACTCCACTGTGGGATGTGGGCATCTTTGTTAGCCTAAATATCCACTCCCAGGTATTTCCTTTCTTTCAAAGTCAGTAAAGGCAATGTGATGGAAAATGAAAAGTTCTGGGCATGGCATTGTGGATTGGAGGGTTAAGCTGTCACCTGCAGTGCCAGCATGCCATAAGGGCACCAGTTTGAGTCCTGGCTGCTCCACTTCTGATCCAGCTCCCTGCCTGTATGCCTGGGAAAGCTGTGGAAGCTCGCGGCCATTTGGAGTATCTATCAGTTTTTGCTTTTCTAAAGACCTGGTTAATTATTAGTTACATGTTTCAATTATTTTTACACCAAAATAAACTCAATTCCATATTTTTACATGCACTTTTGGAAGTACTTTTTTTTAAAAGATTTATTTATTTATTTGAAAGAGTTACACAGAGAGAAGAGAGGCAGAGAGAGAGAGAGAGAGGTCTTCCATCCGATGGTTCACTCCTCAATTGGCCTCAATGGCCGTAGCTGCGCTGATCCGAAGCTAGGAGCCAGGAGCTTCTTCCGGGTCTCCCACGTGGGTGCAAGGGCCCAAGGACTTGGGCCATTTTCTGTTGCTTTCCCAGGCCATAGCAGAGAGCTGGATGGGAAGTGGAGCAGCTGGGTCTTGAACCGGCACCCACATGGGATACCGCTGCTGCACCGGCCCCTGGAAGTACTTTCTTATTTATTTATTTATTTATTTATTTGACAGAGTTAGAAAGTGAGAGAGACAGAGAAAAGCCTTCCGTTGGTTCACCCCCCAAATGGCCGCTACGGCCGGAGCTACGCTGATCCAAAGGCAGAAGCCAGGTGCGTCCTCCTGGTCTCCCATATGGGTGCAGGGCCCAAGCACTTGTGCCATACTCCACTGCCTTCCCCGGGCCACAGGAGAGAGCTGGACTGGAAGAGGAGCAACTGGGACTAGAACCGGTGCCCACATGGGATGCCAGTGCTGCAGGCGGAGGATTAACCAAGTGAGCCACGGCACCAGCCCTGAAAGTACTTTCATAAATGGCTTGGTTAAACCCTGGTGTCTTTCCCATTGTTCAGTTGGAAGAGAATATACTCTTTTTTTTTTTTTTTTTGACAGGCAGAGTGGACAGTGAGAGAGAGACAAAGGTCTTCCTTTTGCCGTTGGTTCACCCTCCAATGGCCTCTGCAGCCTGCGCGCTGCGGCTGGCGCACCGCGCTGATCCGATGGCAGGAGCCAGGTACTTCTTCTGGTCTCCCATGGGGTGCAGGGCCCAAGCACTTGGGCCATCCTCCACTGCACTCCCTGGCCACAGCAGAGAGCTGGCCTAGAAGAGGGCCAACCGGGACAGAATCCAGCGCCCCGACCCGGACTAGAACCCGGTGTGCCGGCGCCGCAAGGTGGAGGATTAGCCTAGTGAGCCACGGCACCGGCAAGAATGTACTCTTTTATCTTGACTGTGTCTTTTTCTTAGGTTTTTACAGAGTGAATACCCGTTGGTTCTACAAGTTACATCCTGTTGGGACAAACTGCACAGGGAATCTACTTTCACGCTGTCAAGCAATGTTTTATTTTAGTGACTACATTGTTAAATAAAAGTCACATTCCTGGCCTGTAGGAGTTAGAAGAGTTGGAAGCAAAACAGATCCAATTCTCTGTCTTTGCTAATGGATTATTAAGTGACAGGTTCTGAACATAATGGAGAGGACAGTCCAACATAATCTCTTTGCCCCAAAACCTATGTCCCAGTACCTTCTGCATCTAAAATAAGGTGCAGTATTTGCATGCTTGTCAAGTAAAGTAATATTCTTGTTTCTGATAGAGAAATAATATACAACTGTCAATGGAGTTATAGAAAACTTAGCATTACCCTTTATTAGAAGGTAAAGGTCTTTGTTAGAAAAATACATACACACAGATACTCCTTATTCTTATACAAATAGTGATGTGCCACCAAGAAGACAGAAGAAAAAGTGTATATAGGCACTTAGGATTGACAGTTTCTTTTTAAGAAATTTGTTTTGTTTTGTTTTGAGTGGCAGAGAGAGTGAGTTCCCATGCATGTGCTGATTTCACTACCCAAGTCCCTGCAATAACCAGGTCTATGCCAGGAGCTGGTAACACAATGCAGGTCTCCCATGTGAGTGGCAGGGACCTAACTTAAACTACTTGAGTGTCACCTGCTGCCTCCCAGGGTGCGCATTAGCAGGAATCTGGAATCAGGGGTGGAGCTGGCCCTCAGACCCGGGCACTCCCATCTGGGATGCAGGTGCAAGTGGCATCTTCCCTACTGATTCAGGTGCCTGCTCCAGGAGTAGCAGTCCGCAGTGCTGACTTTCTGTGTTGGAAGATCAAATCCTCTTTTCAAGTAGAACTGCTTTCTGCTTAGGATCTAAGTTAAGGTTTCATTTATAGGGTGAGTGGAAAGAATCCTGTTGAAGACTGAAAAGAATATTGCAAAGAATCTTTCATTTAACTCAGTGACTTTTCCTTCACTTGGCAAATGCTTACTGAATACCTTCGCTGTGCCGAGCACTACAGTGTGTTATATTAGCACAAGGGCCACAAAAATGAAAACATTCAAATTCTGGAGAATTTTCAGTTTGGTAGGAGAGACACATCTCTGAATAGATAAAATGTTACCCCTAAAGTCTATCACAGAGTAGCCAAGAACTTCGAGAATGTGGAAAGCAAGCTTAGCAGAGGCGTCATTTGTTAGGATGCTTGTATGCTAGGGTCAAGCATTTACAGAAAATAGTTTATTTATTATTTATTTGAAAGGCAGAGTTAGAGGAGGAAAGACAGAGACAGACAGACAGACACTGAGACTCTAATTGATCTGTCTTCCATCCTCTGGTTCACTCCACAAATGGCCGCAATGGCCAGAGCTTCTTCCGAGTCTCCCACGTGGGTGTAGGACACGAGCACTTGGGCCATCTTCCACTGCTTTCCCAGGCACGTTGGTAGGGAGCTGGATCAGAAGTGGAGCAGGGATCTCGAATTGGCACCCATATGGGATGCTGGCATTGCAGGTGGAGGCTTAACCTGCTATACTACAATGCTGGCCCCCAGAACGTTTTGGTATGGTTACTTATAGGGAAAATTTCCATTTATCAGTAACAATGATTCTTGTGGTGTTATATATATCAAATCTTTATTTTAATTGGTGTTAGTTTTAAAACTTCATTTCTGAGACAGTGTCTGTGGAAGGTTTTCATGGATTTTGTTCTCTTTTTTTTTTTTTTTTAATTAATTTATTTATTTGAAAGTCAGAGTTAGAGAAGGAGAGGCAGAGAGAGAGGTCTTCCATCTGCTGGTACACTCCCCAGATGACCCAATGGCCGGAGTTGTATCAATGCGAAGCCAGGAATCAGAGCCTCTCCTGGGTCTTCCTACGTGGGTGCAGGGCCCCAAGGACTTGGGCCATCCTCCACTGCTCTCCCAGGCTGCAGCAGAGAGCTGGATCGGAAGTGGAGCAACCGGGACTCGAACTGGCACCCATATGGGATACTGGCATTGCAGGCGGCAATATTTACCTGCTATGCCACAGTGCCGGCCTCTATTTTTTTTTAATTTTTTTTATTTTTGTTTATTTGAAGGACAGAGTTAGAGAGAGAGGTAGACAGAGAGAGAGGTCTTCCATCCACTGATTCCATCTGACCAGGGACTTAGGCTGTCTTCCATTGCTTTCCCAAATGCATTAGTAGGGAGCTGGATCAGAAGAGGAGCAGCTGGCTCTAGCCCATATGGGATGCTGGCACTTCAGGCCAGGGCTTTAACCCACTGCACCACAGCACCTGCCCCGTAGATTTTGTTTTTAAAAGCATTGTCTTCTAAGCTCATGAGTTTGGTTTGTTTTTTTTTTTTTTTCACAGCTTAGGAAATATTAAATTAATTGCTGTTATTTTCCATTAAGATGGATTTTTGAGCAATAGCCATTGTTTCTCCCAAATTAAAACTTTTCAGAAAGCTCTGGGAAATGGACAGTTTAATCTTCACCCCTGCCAAGACTGTTTATTTGCAATATTTCCTTAAAATTGTTAACTTGTACATTCATCATGTACTAAAACTCCTCTCTCAACTCAGGTATACCATACTTTTCACGATGAGGTGGATGAGTACCGGCGACATTGGTGGCGCTGCAATGGGCCATGTCAGTATGAAAAACCATATTATGGCTATGTTAAACGTGCTACTAACAGGGCGCCCTCTGCTCATGACTATTGGTGGGCCAAGCACCAGAAAACCTGTGGAGGCACTTATATAAAAATCAAGGAACCAGAGAACTACTCAAAGAAAGGCAGAGGAAAGATGAAACTAGGACAGCACCTGGAATCGGCAGGGGAGAATAAAGGTACTTTAATATTTTTCCAACTTTTCCATGATCATAGCTATAATGTAAAGAATTACTCTCCTTTAGGAAACAGTATTAAGATAAGCTTGGCTGGCGTCACGGCTCACTAGGCTAATCCTCTGCCTATGGCACCGGCACCCCTGGTTCTAGTCCCTGTCGGGGTGCCAGATTCTGTCCTGGTTGCTCCTCTTCCAGTCCAGCTCTCTGCTGTGGCCCTGGAGTGCAGTGGAGGATGGCCCAGGTCCTTGGGCCCTGCACCCGCATGGGAGACCAGAAGTACCTGGCTCCTGGATTTGGATCGTTACAGCGCGCCGGCCGTAGTGGCCACTTGAGGGGTGAACCAACGGAAAAAGGAAGACCTTTCTCTTTCTCTCTTTCTCTCACTAACTCTGCCTGTCCAAAAAAAAAAAAAAAAAAAAAAGATAAGCTTAAAGATTATTCCTAGTATAGAAGTTTTTTTTTTTTTTTTTTTAAGATTTATTATTTATTTGAAAATCAGAATTACACAGAGGAGAGGCAGAGAGAGAGAAAGAGAGAGGTCTTCCATCCGATTGTTCACTCCCCAATTGGCTGCAATGGCCGAAGCTGCATCGATCCAAAGCCAGGAGCCAGGTGCTTCTTCTGGGTCACCTATGTGGGTGCAGGGGCCCAAGGACTTGGGCCATCTTCTACTGCTTTCCCAGGCTATAGAAGAGAGATGGACTGGAAGTGGAGCAGCCGGGACTCAAACTGGCACTCATGTGGGATGCTGGCACTGCAGGTGGCAGCTTTACCTGCTACACCACAGTGCCGGTCACCCTTGAAGTTTTCAAGTGTAGACTTAAGAAAAAAAATTCCATTTTCCATGAAATGATAATAGGAAGATATATTTCTCTCTATATAGAAATGAATAAAAGAAATTTTTCCATTGATAATATTTGAGGTAACGTCCCTTCTCCTATCTTAACCCAACTGAGTTATTAGAAAACAGACAGCAAAAGATTGTCAAATTAAAAATCAGTAATTCAAATAACAGTGCCTGAAGAGCAGGTCCTCACCACACCCCTTATCAGCTGGATTCTGAGTGACTTCCACCATTACTGTATGGGTGGAAAAGGGAAATGACATATTGAGAGGGATTCAGAAAGTTCATGGAAAATGGAATTGGAAGACAATGAGAATTTTCTTTTTTACAAAATTTTTAATGAACATTAAAATTATACATATTTTTGGGATATTCTATACATAAACACTGTATAATGTCTAATCAAGGTAAACAATCTATTTCCTCAAATGTTTAATTTATGGTGAAAATATCGAAAAATCCTTTGTTATGGTCTTTTTTTTTTTAAGAGGACAATTAGAATTTTCCATGAACTTTTTGAAGCTCTCTTTATATGCTGTGTTTTTAAATTAAATATTTTATTGTATTGATTTGAAAGAGTGATAGGGAGAGAGAAAGAGAACTTCACTGTTTCACTGCCTAAATGGCCATAATGGTTGAGTTTGGGCCAGGCTGAAGCCAGGACCCTGGAACTCCATCCACGTCTCCCATGTGGGTGGCAGGGGTCCAAGTACTTGGGCTATTTTCCACTGCTTTCTCAGGCACATTAGTAGAGAGCTGGATCAGAAGTGGAGCAGCTGAGACTTGAACCGGTTGCCCATATGGGATGCTGGCACCACAGACGGCAGCTTAACTCACTACTCCACAGTGCCAACTCCAGGATTCTTTATCTAAATGTGAGATACATTTAAAAAAAAAAAAAATGTTTATTTGAAAGGCAGAGTTACAGGGAGGCAGAGGCAGAGAGAGAGGAGAGATGCCTTCTATACACTGGTTCGCTCCCCGGATGGCTGCAGTGGCTGGAGCTGCGCCAATCCGAAGCCTGGAGCCAGGAGCTTCTTCTGGGTCTCTCACACAGGTGCAGGAGCCCAAGAACTTGGGCCATCTTCTACTGCTTTCGCAGGCCATAGCAGATTGGATGAGCATCTGGGATTAGAACCGGTGCCCACATAGGATGTAGGCATTGTAGGTGGTGGCTTTACCCACTGTGTTACAGTGCTGGCCCCAAGATACATTTTTTATCTTTTGTGTGTTTTTCAGAGCTTTGCCTTTTTTTTTTCTCTCTCTCTCTTAGAGCTTTGCTTTTGAAGATTGTCATTCTGCTGTTAATTGTTAATTATTCTATGGCTCAAGTTAAATAATATATTTTGGGAAAACTGTCCTTTTCACTTAATATTTACTGTTTCATTCTGAGTTGAAGAAAATTCTTATTTGCTTCTCTTGCAGATAAAACCAGTAGAGGTGAGGCACAGCGATTAATCCCTTTTAGTGGGAAAGGATATGTTCTAGGCAAAACAAGCAACTCACCTTCATCTGGAAAGTTGATCTCTAATGCCTTCAATAAAACTCAAGGTCGTTTAAGTCAGGATCACTCAGGAAATGCTGTAAGACCAAACTCTAAACTTGAGGTAAAACTTGAACAGAATGGTTCAAATAAAAAATCTCATCTGATTTCCCCTGTTCTTAATGCCAATCACCAAAGTGTTTTAAACAACTACTTTTTTAAAGTATCAGTTGCCAACCCAAAAGCTTTCAGAAAAGTGAATGGATCCCCAATAAAAAGCTTAACAGTTGGTGATGCCACTAAAAACTCAAGCTCTTCTGGTTCTCAAAGAATGGCTACATCTTCTAACATGCCCCTAAGAAATTCTTTAAAAGCCGTGGAGTCAGCATCTGTTACTGCATCCCAGGTTGTGAGTGGACCTGAAGATAAAGTCCCAAATAAACGACCCAGGCTAGAAGACAAGACTGTTTTTGACAATTTTTTTATCAAGAAAAGGAAAATACAAAGCGGTGGAAGCGATCAGAAGTGTAGTTCATCTCCTGCAACCACAACTCAAAATTCCAGTAGTTCGTCCAGTCAGAGCAAAATGGTTAATTGTCCAGTTTGTCATAATGAAGTTTTGAATTCTGAAATTAATGAGCACTTGGACTGGTGCCTTGAAGATGATAGCATGAAAGTCAAAAACTGAAAAATCCTTGAAAGACGAATGGGTCTCATGTACCACCTGTTTTACCTCACTAATGTGCTGTGTCGGCCATTCAGGAAGTTCTGGTTAAGATAAGATTTGTAGGCTATAATTAGTTCACACAACCAGTATAAAATGTTCTATTTTACATATACATATGACAATATAATTAAAAATATTTTATCTCAAGGTGCTATAGTCACATTTGCCTTATGTATACGATAGCCTAGAGTTTGTTCTTTATAATTTTTACATACTTTTGCTCTTTCTTATTCTTAAAAGATTTTGAATCTGTTAAAGGATTTTGAATATCCTAAAAATATTCATGTGAAAAATTCTGTCAGATATTTGGTTAAATTGGATATTTATTAAGACTTTTTCCCTGAACTGATGTTAATCTTAGTGTCAGAATTACCTACTAAAACACAATCTACATTAGAAAATTTTTGTAGTTGTTTTAGGGTACTCAGGTTTTTTGTCTTTCTGCTTTTTGTTTTTATAAAATCTTAGCAGTTAAAGAATTTTATTTCTCTGTTCCACCTTTACTAAAAAGTGGTAGCAGATTTTAGGTTGAAGTAGATAAAGGAATATAGCAAAAATAATTAATGTTTCTTCTAGAATATTACTAGTAACAAGTTGCCACTGTAGTTCTGTGAGGTTGGATTTCATACTGAGTTTAGCAAAGTGAGTGGTTAAAATTCAGGGCTGATAAGTAACTGGTATATATAGTTTCACAAAGTTGCCTCATTTATGTAACAGTGGAAAATTATCTGGAAACAGTATTAACAAACCTTAAGCCAAAAGTTTAGAGCATTACAAGAAAAGGAATGCCATTTGTACACTGAAAAATGTTTTTGTTTTTAAAAATGCCCTTTTCCATGTTACAGCAAAAGGACGGAGATACTTTTATCATTTTGCTTTTTGTCTCATACAGCTCGTTGGCATACTCCCAGAGACCTCAGTTCACAAGTTTTCTGTTTAACTTTGTCACAGTATGATTTGTACATGGTAAGGTGCCCAACTCTGCAGTGACCACCTGTGTAACCAATACCCAAATCAAGTTAGAGAACATTTTTGTCACCACAGCTGTACCTGGTCCGTACCCATCACTCTCACCACTCTCAAAGATTACTACTATTTTCACCTATTACCCAAAGGCTCAGCCTGTTTTTGAACTTCATAAGGTAGTATCTGTGGTGCTATATGTAGCAGAAGTTCATTTTCATTACCCTATAATATTTGTCTGAATAGGCCAGAATTTTTTCATTCATTCTAATATTAATGGACATTTGAATTATTTTCAGTTTGGGGCTTCTATGAATAATGCTTCTAAGAACATTCTTACTCATTTCTCTTGGGTGTATACTCAGGAATGGAACCGCTAGCTTCAGTGAGTAACTCTGCACTCCTGCCAGCAATGTGTGTGAGACTTTCAGTTCAGTATTCTTAACAGTTAGCATTTTCATTTTAGCCTCTCTGGTTGGATGTTTATAAGTTTCGATTTCTTAAAGCATGAATTAAAAATATTTAATAAATGTTTATAGTTAAATGGCTTCTAAAATATGTGTATTATGTTGAATAAATGCAGTTATACTTTCTCAAAGAATCGTTTTCTTTGAATCAATTTAACAGATTATATGCAGTTAAATTTCTGGGCCAAAACCACATAAAGGTCTGGGCTGTGAGGTAAATGAGGCAGTCTGTGTTCTCAAGGACTAGTCTTGCTGGGGCACGAGACCAAAGCGGGTCGATCTCAGTGCTGCCTGGTCAGTACTGTGGAGCAGGCGTCTGCCAGGAGCTTTGGGAAGCACCATGAGCACGCCCCCGTACTTCAGGGGAGGTTTCTGAGGAGACAACATCCAAGATGACTGTTCTACCCTGAGTCGTTAGCCTTGCTAAAAGAAGGGTAGAGCAGGCTTTGCAAAGAGGAAGTCAACTAGCACACCCTACTGGAGGAACTAGGAGCTGTTCCAAATGAATAGGATATAAAGGATGAAGGGCAGAAAGGCCCAAGGAGAAAGGCTGCAGATAGGACCTATCTAGCTAAGTAGAATTTTGAAGGCAGGGACCAAACCTACGATGCTTCCCACTTTATGTCCAGCGTGTGTAATGCCAAATATTAAGCATCTGTTGATCAGGTGGGGCTTGAAAAGTCTTGCAAGCAAGCCAGGGGCGTGTTGAGAAGTGATTTCAGTGGGTTCCTCTTGGATGGAGGCAACAGAGATGGGATGGGAGGGATCTAGAGGGTGAGTTTGGGAAACAGGCTGTACAGTCAGAAGTTGGTGTCAGGCCCTAGAGGATGATGAACATAGCAATTAGCTGCAAGACTGCAAATTTGAAATTACATGAACATTTACTTAATCGGTATTGAAAACTTCTGAAAAAATTTGCACCCTAAGGATTGTTAATCAGTTACTTATTTCAAAGAAATCATTTTCTGTTTTGCTTAATTTTTCCTTTTAAAAAAACTTGCTACCTTAATACCAGACTTTGTAGTTATTTCAACCACTGTGGGGAGATGGGGTTGTAAGCTGCACTTTTTTTTTTTTTAAGGTTAAAAAAAATTATTTTAAAGGTAGGTAGGAAGAGGAAAGAGAATCTTCCATCTACTGGTTCACTCCCCAAATGGCCAAAATGGCTGGGGCTGGGCCAGCCCAGAGCTGCTTCTGGGTCTGTAACATGGGTGCAGGGGCCCAAGCACCTGGACCACGTCCTACTGCTTTCCTAGGTGTATTAGCAGGGAGCTGGATTGGAAGTGGAACAGCCAGGTCTCAACTGGCGCCCATGTGGGATCAGTGTCATAGGCGGAGGCAAGCCCTGTAAATTACATTGCTATAAAGAGCCTGGTGTTTATGATGTCAGGTTGCATATTATCTAGCAAAATTAAGGAACTTAAAACATTTTCAGTAGAATATAAATTCATATCCTAATTAGAAATTCTAACATGGATAGGAAAACAACTGACAAAAGCCTCATGCAAGACCATTGTTCCAAAGCTGTAAGGCTGTTTTTTTTTTTTTTTTTTTTTCTTTCCCAGAGTGTACAGGGCTTTGTAAATAAATACAATGGCAAATGAAAGCTGATGTATCTTTCTGCAAATCTAGTAACTATGTGGGGTTGAATGCCTGTGGCACATGTTGGGTCTCAGCTTTTTTTGTGTTTTTTTTTTTTTTTGTTTTGGGACTTACTGTGGAGCCAATGGCTTTTTTTGTTTGTTTTTATTGGTGTTGTCTTTGAGGTTATTCTTGCATTATTTATTTTTTAAATTAATTTGAGAGGCTGAGAGAGATCTTCCATCCGCTGGTTAACTCCCCAAAGGGCTGCAATGGCTGGAGCTGTGCCAGTTCAAAGCCAGGAGCAAGTAGCTTCTTCTGTGTCTCCCACTCAGGTGCAGGGGCTCAAGCACTTGGACCATCCTCTGTTGCTTTCCCAGGCCGTAGCAAAGAGCTGGATCAGAAGTGGAGAAGCCAGGACTCAAACCAGCGCCCATATGGGATGCCAGCACTGCAGGCTGTGGCTTTAAGTATTGCATTTTTAGCAATTTGTTGGAGTTGACTCTGAGCAGATCCACCAAATGAAGTGAAACTCTTACTATGAAAATTGTGATCATAAATTGACTAGAGAGTTAAAATTAGCAGAAAAGGATGCAGTGTGATTAGCTCTGGCTTTTATTCTCTCTCATATTCAAGAGAATGTTAGGCATTATATTATTACATGCTTCATCATCACATATCCTCTGAAATGCAAAGTGAAAGACAGGAGGCTCTTTGTGACTCCGGAGTCATTATTGAGGTTTACAACATTGTACAAGGAGCACAGAAATAAGTGGCCTTTTGCTTTTTTTTGGTACTGGTATTAAGCCAACCAAAAGATTTATTTACTAAACACTTGATGGTGCTCTTGGTAACTTGAATTTTCATGAAGACCTGAAGGCAAAGCAAAGGCACAGGGGTAAGAGAACCAGAACACTAATTGGCAATTCTGATTCATAGAAAGGAAAGAACAGGTGATGATCTCAAGTGCTGTGAGGGGACAACAGCAGGCCAAGAATGTGTGCTTGTTCAAACAAGGACTGATCAACCGGACACCCTCATGTCCCAAAACTTGTTTTCAATGTTTCACCTTTCACATTGAACACTTAACAGTCTCCTGCAAGAAGCCAGTATCCAGCCAGCGCCTTGGCTCACTAGGCTAATCCTCCGCCTTGTGGCGCTGGCACACTGGGTTCTAGTCCTGGTTGGGGCACTGGATTCTGTCCCGGTTGCCCCTCTTCCAGGCCAGCTCTCTGCTGTGGCCAGGGAGTGCAGTGGAGGATGGCCCAAGTGCTTGGGCCCTGCACCCCATGGGAGACCAGGAAAAGCACCTGGCTCCTGTCATGAGATCAGCGCAGTGTGCCGGCTGTGGCGGCCATTGGAGGGTGAACCAACGGCAAAGGAAGACCTTTCTCTGTCTCTCTCTCTCACTGTCCACTCTGCCTGTCAAAAAAATAAATAAAAAGCCAATATCCAAGATATGGCAAAACATGATCATACTCAACAGGAAGTATTCCAGACAAAGCAAGACCTGTTCTTTTCCATTCTTCCTTAAATTACAGTTCTTCTCCTTTCCATGCCTAACATTTCTGTGTTCTAGTTCATGTAGATTACTCTGAAAGCTTCCTAGGACACAAATGGCATCCTTTCCCCCTGAGAGGACTAATAGTGACAAGTGCCTTTTAGGTTCTTGATGTTAAGTGAATGAAATGGTGAGGCATGTCACAAGCTTTGTGGTTTAATACCTTTACCAAAAACACTTACTGGACACTAACTCCTTGCCATACTGTTTTCAAGAACCAAAGTTTAGGTCAATTTCCAAGTTACAATGTTCTTAAGACCCAAATAATTTCCAGGTTGTAAGAATTCTTTGCAAGCTAAATACATGAAAACCTGGATTTACTGAAATTGGGAGGCTATTTTTTATTTTACAAAAGCTTCCTCATAGGATTCTTTTATTTGTATGATAAATTCCACGTGTAACACGTTTACACACACGATATGTAAAGTAAGTCGGACCCACATTACTGGTGTATTGCATTCTTAACACCAAATATCAAACTCCATGGGATCTGCAAGTATAGGAGGGAGTATGGTTTCTCAACATGATGTGAAAGTCAAATTCAGTATCACTCTCTTCAGAACTCCATTGTGTATCACCATGTGTATATGCACGCATATGCCTGTGTTCATTCCACTCTCTGACCCTTTATAATTCTCCTTTTGTTCGCTTGGCTGTTTCTCTACTCCTCCTCCCCAGTTCTCTTCACTGCATTTTCAGTTGAATATATTCTTCCTTGGTCATCTTGTAGCTTTTTAGTCTCTGCTGACTTACATCAACATTTATTTCTTAGCTTCCTGAGGAATTTTTCCTTTCTGCTTTTGTTCTGAGATTTTCCATTTCATTTAGTAATTTTTACTTCTACAAAGCGTTATTTAGTTCAGGTTAGACATTGTTAATTTTTCCCACCTGCCTTATGGTTAAGAATTTTGGTCAGCTGTAGTTGGCTCCCCTATTCTTCCTATAATAGTATTTATGTTTTTCTTTTCCTGCTCATTATTTTCTTTGACTTAGAAAAATAGTTGGTTTTTGGTAGGCAGGGATTACTGGGTTCCTTGATTCAAGTGTGTTCTGTTGGTAAAGTGAAATACTTTTATTTCTCCGCGATCACACTGTTTTGGTGAGGTGGGTGGGGTTGGAGTCTTATTCTGACTCCATAATGGTTTTTTTTCCATTCTGTAGGAGCCTTGCTTCCTTCACTTTACCATCAAGCCTCTAAGAGACATCTCGACTCTCCCAGAAATGGTACTCTCTCATAATGTCCACTTAACTTTCAGACTTCTTTTAATGCCCTAGTGGCTAGTGGTTTGACACACCAGTGTTGGTATTCCCATCACTGATGGTGGAGTCCTTGATTTTTCGCCCCATGTTCTGCCACTGTTGGGGGACGTCCCTACTGCCCTCATCTCTGCCACAAACTTCCCATCGACTGTCTGACACTATTTCCAGGTGCTGCTTGTCTGGATTCACGTAAGTTGAAGTATTTTCTATGTCTCGGTATGCTACAGGTGTGGGCGACAGGGGACTGCTTGCTTGTATGTTTTGGAAGATTGCTGATATTCAATAATTAGGCAGCAGCCAACATAACTTGGAAAACCAGAAGCCCAGGGCCCACCTCTTAAATATCATAATACATAAACAAGATTTACCAGATTGTGGGGGGAATACTAACAACACAAAAGACAAAAGCAGAAAAAGTATTATTTTTGTTAGAACAGGTTGTTTATGTATATGTATATATGTATATATATATACACACATCTTAATTAGAACAAAAAAGGAGCTCTTTGAAAATACTTTACAGTTTGCAAAACTAGTGGCTGAGAATAGGGACACACTAGTGCACACTGTAGAGCTAGTGCCCTAGGGATGGGAATATTCTATGAGCTTCTACAGAAGAAAAAATAAAAAGATAAAAAATTAGGAAAAGAAAGGCTTCAGATTTCTCAGCTGCCACACACACTGGAACTTATAACCAGCAAGACAATACCTTCAAAATCTGAGGAAAAGAATTTCAAGTAGAATGCTATACGTAGCTATGTTACCAATTCAGTGTGGCAGGACAAGACAAGTGGTCGCGGAACGTTTCTCATCTGCACACTTGCAGAAAGCACCGGAGCACATGCTCCAGCAGAATGAGAAGGCAAACCACCACGTATGGAGAGCGGAAATGGAGATGCAGCACCAAGAGTGCTGAAGGCAGACCAGCTGTGCTCCAGGAAGGACGAGCAGCCCTTCCACACTGCCACAGGGTAAAAGCCCCCCCCCCCCCACCACACACACTCACACACACACTCGAGACACTAAGGGGAAAAATAAACTACGGAAGCATGTAAGAGTCATCATGATTTACTCTGGATCTCGGCTTTGAACAGCCGAGTCATAACAGAAACACAACCCGAGCTCACCTACAACGTAACTAAATGAAGATCAGGGTAGGTGGAAGTGTTTGTGGATGTGTGGCAAGAGTGGTGAAGACTGTTGGAAAGAGAACTCATCATCCATGTGGTGAAGGTCATAAATATTACCTAATACTGAAACATCAAGAGGTAGTAAGGCAATTACATCGTTGACACTTAACAGGGCAAGGACCCATTTGAAACTGTTTTCTTAGGAGAAGGTGAGGAATTTTTTTTTTAAAACAATCTTTAAAGAATAGGTTGAATTAATAATTACTAAGATTAAACAAGAAAAATAAAGTCCATGTTCAAGTCCTGGCTCTCTACCCCTTACAAGCTGTGAGGCAAGTCACTTCTCTGATCCTGTTTTAATGATAGATGGAAATAAAATTTGCTATGCCCACTTTGTACACGTTGAGGAAAAAGAGTCTAAAAGTATTGTGAGAACATCATAGGAATATAACAATTTTAACAACAACAATCATCTCAGTGAAGTTTTTTAAACCTTACTCAATAGCTCTTTGACCCCATGACATCCTGTTCAGAGCAAAAATTATCCATTCAATAAGAAGAGCATTAGCTGCTTGTTAATAAAGCTGTTTAAACATTCTGTATTTTGTAGAGTGATTAATATTTAAGTGTCTTCTATTTATGAAACTATTTCCAACTCACAAGGCCATGCCCTTTATACATGTCCTCAGTCCAATGCTTTATCCTTGAGCATTGCCCTATTTCAGGCGAAACTGGCTTTCTGGTGATCATGAAATGATCATTAAAGGCAAAACTGGAAGTGGGGGGGCATATATTCATGACTTTATAAGTCCAAAAATTATCCCTGAAGCAAGGGAGGCTGAATATCTGCTTGGGAATGCTAGTAAACTACGTGGAACAAAAACCCAATGCAGAATGATTAGGGACATGGTATAATTACGCATCCGTTGTGCTCCACATTCAAAATATAGCTCCTTCTTAGACCAGTGCACTTGGGAAAGAATTAGCGTGATTTAAACCTAAGTGGAAACTCCAGAGTTATAACTGATGTGAAAAACAACTGCTAAAATTGTCAACTATTCAAAGCTCATTATCTAACTTTTTTCCTCTTTGCAACTGTGCTACCATAATGTTAAAGGAGGGAATAATACTTGTTGAAGACCTACTTTGTTCATCACTGTCAGGTATGTTGCATACTGTATTTCATTTAGGTCTCATACAACTCTTTTTTTTTTTTTTTTACAGATAACTGTGCTTATTGCAAATTTTAAAAAGGGTCAAAAGGTCACATAATCAAGAAATTGAGCCACAAGTAAAGAGAGATTTGTTAATTCTGCCTGTGTGTTTTAAATTACACTATTATCAATTACCATCTCTAATTAATTTTCCTCTCTTTCCTTCAATTTGCCCAGCTATATTTCAGTGGAATTCTCCAAGTGCCCTAAGACAGGCCAGAAAATAACAAAAATATCACACTAAAATGTTAAGTGAAAGATATATGCACATGTAAATTAATATCACCTTAAAGCTCTTATGTTTTAATGGATGACCACACAAATGAAACTTTCTTGCATACATACAATTGGACACCTCTGATAATTAGAGATAGATGTCTGATGCCCCTCCTTCTGTGACTGGGGTGATGCAGCTATTACAAATATACTCAGCAGCTAGCTATGAGTGTCAAAATAATTTTAAAAATTTGACTAGAAGGGCAAGGATTTCAATGTTAAGAATGCAAACAAAGCTCATGGATCTCAGAGTCCAAATAACCCAGCATAGTTCTAAAATCACTGAGTTCCTATTATTTACTGTTCTCTTTCCCTTATTATTTATAAAAAGTAATACCAAACCTTCTGGACTAAGCCAGAGCTATGGTATAGAAAAGCACATTATCTGATGATAGGGCCCATTATTAAAGCCTTTAAAGGATTAAAAAACAAAGACAGCTGGAAATAACCACCATAATTTTTTCAAGAACATTTATACATCTTTTTAATTAGATTAGCTTTACAAGCAACTTGAGAGCTCTTCCATAATGAAACACTGCTTTCCAAATTACATGACTTTATAGCCTATCTATATGGGAATCCTGAAATTCTTTGCCTACTATTGATAAAGTTCTGTGTTTTACAGCTGGTTAATGTGATGAATAAAAATAAGCATTGCGAAGATTTATCTTCAACCAGGATTGAACACATATAGGCCACAAACCATTTTCAATTTAGTTTTAAATATAGTCCTGCTCGGTGACAAGTTAACGGTCCCACTAACAACAAATGAATAGTTTCAGTGAATATTAAAAGAAATGGCTATCCTGATTGCTTGATATTTTCACACTGATCTCCAAGAAAGTATATAAACTTTTTCAAAAAAATATATAATTTAAGACCTGTCTGTCAAGCACAACCAATAGATAGCAGACTCTGATAACTGTACAGCTGCAAAGGTACACACATTTGAACAACAGGGGCTCCCAAATTAAAAGGCTGTGCTATACATCTTAACAGACTTCAGTCTACCTAAAACAATTTCTACTAACGCTACAAACGATAGTGCTTTCAAATTGTGGCCCAAGGCAGTGCACTGCACTACAGACCAGATGGCAAGGACAACTTGCACTCCCAGGTCGGGCTGGCAGAGAGGCACTTACTGTAGAGATGTTATGTTATCATCTGGAAGAGGAAGTGGGACAAAGCTGAACATGGGCAAGGAAAAACAATAAACTATCGCTTTTTTTCCTGCAGGTTCTCCTAAGTGAGAACACGATACCAAATATTTAATCCCATTCTAATTCATACTGTCAGTTTCACTAAATAATTTTTTTCATGTTTTACATGAACAATAGCAATCTTTTAATAAAAATTACTGAGCTTTCCATAGAAAAGGTCTCTAATTGGATACAAACTATACAGATGCTAAAACTGTTGTAAATTGAAATATATAGAAATATTTCTGTATACTCAGATTTTGGCAAAGAAGATCGAGGAAACAGGATAGAAAACCTAAATTGGTAAGGGCTCTTTGCTAAAGAGCCTAGGAGAATGAAATCTAAGACGTCTATCTCAACTCATTCTTTAAGTAACAGAAGTCCGGGAGGCCTTGTGTGATTATGTAATGTTCCTTCTTTTTCTAAAATGTAAAAAAGAAAACCCATAAAACATAAAAATAAAATTATCTGGTTTTGCGCTTTTTTGTTTTTCTAAGCTAAGCATACGTCTTTCAGTACTGACAAGAAGGCTGGCATCACATTTGGGGAATGCCTCAACAGCTGTCTGAAGAGTCACTGAACATCAAGTTTGTAACAACACATTTCCTTCTCAATGCAAATTAATCTCCCCCTGATATTCTTCAAAAGAGACAAAGGTTCTGATCTGAAAATCAGACGGATCATAGTATTAGGAAGAAAACAATAAATTTGAAAGTACAATCCGTTTGAGAAGCAAAAGGGAAAACCTTAGAAATGGGAAATCATCATCTAGCTCTAGAGGAAACACCTGAATGCAGAAGAAAGCCCTTTATCTTAGGAACTTGATGCTGAGGATAATCTCAAGTTCATTCAGTGCCAGTCACTTTCGTTTTGTTTAAAAAAAAAAAAAAACTTGAAAAGATAAACCCTTCTTACAGTGTATTTTTCCTTATAAAACATGAACTGAAGTTACTGGTAATAAATGGTGACTATTTTACTGTGAGGCTTCATTATTAAGGATGTCAAAACATGACAGCAGCAATCTTTAGGAATCCAAATTAGAGCAAGATAGCACTACAAAACATCTGATGTTTCCATTGGTAAAGTGCTCCTTTTCTTATTTTAAGTGAAAAGAAAATTAATTAATCATCAGTCACTGGCAACAATCATTTTGAGAGGTCTTTTAGGGCAAAATTTAATAGTATGAAGAAGTTTACAAAAATAGATTGATGCTGTTTTGAGAAATAATACTGTAATTTTTTCTCAATTCAGTTTTGATAAATTGTACCTAATCATACAAAAATTACCCCAAATTCAAACCTTGATATAAAAAAGGGAGAGATGAAATGAACTCAGCTAGATGACAGATCGGACAAAATAGAAGAATGAAAAAATTTTGCACAGGGCACTTATTTCATGTCCAGATGTAAAAACCATTTTCAACTGATAGCTTATCTTCTTCCCATAAGCAGTCACAGATTCGGAGTGGATCATGCAGTCCAAAGTCACAGCAGTCAAAATCTTCCTGTTTGATGCAACACAAAGCAGTTGTATCTTTTCCTTATTAAAATGCCGACTGGTTGTCTGTTTTTCTTTATCCCATTTATTTGTATTCACAAGTTAACAAACAGTGTCAACAATTATTGTAGTGAACTGAGGGTATTGCTGGATGAGAGGCTCTATAAGACATCTTTACTGATTGAATCAGAAGGTTTATTGAGTTCAACCCTCACTCCTTTTTCCCCTGCAAGGTAAAAAAATAGATAAAATTCATTTATTCATTAGGCACCAGAGAGCTTCTGCTACTGCTTCCCACTGAATTCCCAACAGTATGGACCAACATCATCTGAAAACTTTTATACTTGCACTTCCAAATGTTATCAGTGGTGTTCTATTATGATGAAGGCATTCATTTCAACTAGTAAAACCTTTAAGGGTAAAACCATCCTCTGTATAGAGAATGATTTCGTCTCCTTTTTATTTTAAAAAGCAATTATTTGTGGGCTCTGCCACAAATAACTACTTTAAAAATACACAGAAAATCCATCAACATTCAATTTGTATGTTGTTTATAAAAGCCTGAAGTGGGATTATCAATGGCTCATGAAAATATGGCTAATCAGTAATGTGAACACTTAATGGACTTTTGGATATACAGGTAGGGTTAAAGAAAAGAAAGCGAGTGGTCCATCAGATGGGAAACTGAGACCAACTGCTCTAGAAGAGAGAGTCCATGAGCGGGGGCAGAGGAGAACTGGTGTAACGAAGAATCTTCAGGTTCGGTACAAGTGTGCTGACCTGTCTGTGTATACCACTGGAGATAATGCAGTCCACATGCCTAAGCTGATTCACTCATTTTGGCATTTCAATTTACCTCCTTTATATTAACTTTCTTCATGTCCCTATTGAACATGGAAGATCGAGGATATTTTTTAAGAGTATGTATGCTTAAAAAAGGAAAGGATATTTACTGCCTTCTTGGGGGCAAACGAGAGGTAGCCAGATGGCCATTAACAAGAGTCAAGTCCCCTGTGACTGAAAAGGATAATCACAGAAAAACTTGGACGATAACTGAATAATTACTCAGATTTTGCCTCAAACTTTCCTAATCTTTTGGCAATTTTGTAGGCTAAATATAATAATGAAGATGACATTAAGGGAAGTCCTTTTTTAAGAAAGGGAATTAATGAATCTGACAAAAACAAGAAGTATTCATGGTGTTAAAAAAGACTATACTTGAATTTACTGAAAGCACCACCTGATGGCAGGGTACTTTTGTTCCAGTATACCCTGGCCCCAAATGATGTTTACCTGTTAGATATTTTACTTTAGCTCGTGCTCTCTCATCTGCATCAAAATACCAAACAGTTATTGCGTACCTAAAAGAAAATTTAGAATAGGGTAAGAATGATCACATTGGGGGGTAGGGTAGTGGTATGCTGTTATGATGGTATATTAAAACTTGTGATGCCAAAATTATGCCTAAAGTTGAATGATACTAAAGGACAAATGAGTACAACAACTCACTTTTCCAGTAGCCTCAACACTGAAGAGTATAGCAGAGAACCAGGAGAGGCTAAAATTGATGTCACAAAGTTGAGTATTTATGACTTTTTAAACATCTGTTTAAACTGCTTGACTATCTTTTTTGCAACCCCACCACAGAGCAGAAACAGATAACAAAAGGGTAAAAGAATGGCTATTACAGAAACAGCACATTATCCATAGCAGAAGTACTAAATGAAAAAGTGAGAAACAGAAAAGGATTCCATACACAGCAGCCTGGGGCCTTTAGTGAAAGGAGAGTAAGTCTCAAAAGCTTCTGAGAATATCATATTACATTATAGCAAAGTGGAATGATGAATGTTTTTAATTATAACCTGAGTCATCAAGAGGAGTTAAATTATACTAAGACTTTTCTAGAATTTTTATCAAAACAATTATACTATGTTTTGAGGTTTAAAGTGTAGCTAACTTCATTTTTCAGAAAATTACACTTAATTGGACTATCTTATTCCAAAAATAAATGAGGCATCACCAGTTTATAAAATAGTACATCTTAGATCTTCTGATAAGAGCAAGGGGGAAAATGTACAGACACTATAAAATTGAGGGCATGGCACAAATCGTCAATTCTTCAGTAGAGTGCAACAATTAGTTAAAATATCTTACAAATTCTAGTCAATGGTCATGGGGGGCAAGCATGATCGAATGATGACCCCGTATATGTGACAAAACTAAACCAGGAAGCATATTGAAGTAAACAGCCAAATGCAGAGCTGACTCAGAACCTGAGCACCTGGACAACTCGAGGAGACTGAGGTGCGGATCTCTCACTGGAGAAGGACAGAGCTGCGATCAGAGACGGGTCTGCTGACTGCCACACTCTGCTCTGTCTAGAGTTCAACACCTTTCTTGCCAGGTGGCCTCTTCTATTTTTTTCTGGTGGCCTTGGTAATAGGAAAGGGCTCAGATATATCTGTCTTCTGTCCATGTGACTTAGTAATCAAGAGTTCTAATTTCTGGATCACCTCCCACCATAGCCCCCAAGTCCTTACCAGGAAACAACTGTAACCCACCACCTGCCGTTCTCACTCGCCAGCCTTATCTCTGTTCAATCTATCTTAAGAATCGTTTTCCTCACAAATTTCCTCACCACGACTAGGACGATCTTGCCCTTTCTCAGAGCTGCACTAACGCGGCTGGGCTTCTGGCCTCTTTACTGCTCAGTCTAACACCACCTCCTCTTTCTCTCAGGTCCCAGAGTACTTATGTTCCACACGAGTTGACACTGATTTACTATTTCAAACTGTTATTTATTCATCTAAAAAGGATACAATCAAACCAAGCTCAAAATCTCATTGAAAAGAAGGTCTATGAAGCAGTTTCTGGGTCAGAAAACATTTAAAGAGTCTGCAGTGGGAGGCAGAGGCAGGCACTGAGCTTCAGGACGAGGGATGGGATCCAAGAGAAAAGATTCTCTCTGGTTTCCATTTAGGACTTTTTATGATTTCTGGCTACCAACTGTTCAGCCTGCTCCTCTGTGTGAATTAGCGGGAAGGCTGCTTGACTCAGAAAGGAGAAAAAAGGGAGAGATGACACGCAAGTCTTCAGAAGCTCACGCAAGCTGACTGGACTCTAACATCAGCACTAAACCCAGTGTCTCTAAGGGTGTGCATCCTCTCTCCAGCACACATCCCTCTGCATCTCCTAAGCCAGATGTTAAAACAGATTGCTGGAATTCATTATCAGAATATTCTAGGTTCTTTCTGAAATGAAAAAGATATTTAGAAAATAGTATTTTTTCTACAAATACCTAGTTTCATAGCAATATCTGCAACAACTTCAGTTTTAACAGTCTTCACATTTAAACTGAGTTATGAGAAATGGTAAAAAAAAAAAAAAAGGAATTAAACATTTAGGGTACTAAACCTTGTAAAGAAAGGACATAATAAAACATATGCTTCTTAATAAGGCTAAAAGATTATTTTTCCAACATTAACTCACACATATGGCAATCTTTCTTCTACTTTTCTTTCCTCTATTGTTTTTTCTCTTCACTTCTACTCCCTAGTTACCTCATATTTTTTTCTACTCTATCCATTTTTCCATATTGTTACTCTTTATTTTTTCTCTCATTACTTTTTTTTAAGATTTTATTTATTTATTTGAGAGGTATAGTTATAGACAGAGGGAGGGAGAGACAGAGAGAAAGGTCTTCTACCCACTGGTTCACTCCCAAAATAGCTGCAACAGCTGGAGCTGTGTCAATAAGAAGCCAGGAGTCAGGAGTTTCTTCCAGGTCTCCCAAATGGGTGCAGGGGCCCAAGGACTTGGGCCATCTTCTACTGCTTTCCCAGGCCATTAGCAGAGGGCTGGATTGGAAGAGGGGCAGTTGAGACACAAACTGGTGCCCATATGGGAAGCCAGCACCTAGGCAGAGGCTTAGCATACTATGCCACAATACTGGCCCTTCTCATTACCTCTGCCCTTCTTCTTTCCTATCTGGTATTTCCATCGCCCAAGTGAACACCCTCAGAAAATCAAAGGATAGGCAATAGTTCAGAGATGAAATCACCAAGAGACAGGGCTAGAAGGGTGAGAAGTTTCCTTTTCTTATCCAAGACAAGGAGTGACTGTGCAAAGAAATACACAAGCATTTAGTACCAACTATGAATAAATCATATACAATTTTTAAAATAAAAATGACTATAAAACATAATAAAAAGCACCTGGAGAACAGGAAAATACTCATTAGAAATTTTTCAAATTTACTCAAATTATCCTCTCCCATCCAACCATAGTTTTTGTAACATATTTTTTCTTAAAAGAAATACTACCTTGTAGCATATGCTGGTTGTACTTCATGAGGGTTGCGACGGTCAGACCAGAAAAACAGCAGTCTATCAAATTTAGGTTCAATGTCAGCAAACTGGGCTTTGCCTTCTGGAAAAATTCGAAGTATACCTCCATTTACCTAGGAAAGGAGACAAATATGTAAGCATGAGTAACCAAAAATGCTCTAAGATTAAGCTGGGGAGGGGGCTATTTCAGTGAAACAAAATTCTGAATCAAATTATTCACAAATCCATATCAATTAACAAGGTATGATGTAAGCTGAGATTCTAAGTACTGCACTGCTGCAAGGAAAAAATTCATTTCTTGTTTGAGAGGTTTTATAAATATATGCTGAAACATGAATATTGTCTCAATTTAATTCCTAAAATGATGCTTGAATGTTTCGAAAACTATTAAACGTTTATATATCCTAATGATCTACTTAAACTGCCCTTAAAATGGATACCTTTCAACAAGTCATTTGGATTAAATTACTATAAATGGCTCATGTCTAATAGCTAATTGTATTTGAAAGCTGAACACTTAATATAACATCCACAAATGTCTTGTAAAGAATTTAAGAAAAATATATAAAGAATTTAATACATTGCTAGACAGTATCTTCATTTATCACTATCATCACTCCACCATTCATGCCACAGTCACTGTTGGGACTCCCTTTTCAGACTGGGCTTGATATGCTCATAATTACTTGATTATAAAACTCAATTCCTTCCAGAATTATTATTTACTTAAATACACCATTCTCTGAAGTTACATGGACTCATCCACTCCTACCAATATTGACTGAGCAGCTATTTCACTGGGAACTGTGGTGACCCTAGGTGCAGAGCAGGTAATACAGCCAGACCTTGTTCTTGAGGTGTTTACAATCTGGGAGGAGAATAAAGCTAGGCAAATCACAGCCAAACAAGAATAAACGCCTAAAGAGGCCACTGTTTAAAATGGAAAGGAACTGCACCACCTGGTCAAGACTTCCTGGAGGTTGAGCCTAAAGCTATAATCTAGTCAGAAAAAAATGTTCATCAGGCTCATCTTCAGGTCCAGCTCCTTGGGCCCCCTTGCCAGTGTTCCAGTGTTGGTTCCAGGTTGTTCACAGTGATTCTCCAGGCAATTATGTAAAAATCTCACAACTCTCCAGGTTTTTCCCTGTCCCCTTCCCTTTGACTGGAGTCACTGGGAATATCACAGATGATTGGCTGAAATGTTTAAAGAGAAATGGCTAGTCGACACCTCCCCTGGGAAACCTTCCCTGACCTCTGATCTGGGTGGCCTTCCTATGCACTTCCAGAGATATTAATCTTTATTAATCTTTTTTTTTGACAGATAGAGTTAGGAAGTGAGAGAGACAAACAGAGAGAAAGGTCTTCCTTCCGTTCGTTCACCCCTCAAATGGCTGCTATGGCTGGCGCTGCGCCAATCCAAAGCCAGGAGCCAGGTGCTTCCTCCTGGTCTCCCATGGGGTGCAGGGCCCAAGCACTTGGGCCATCCTCCACTGCCCTCCTGGGCCACAGCAGAGAGCTGGACTGGAAGAGGAGCAACTGGGACTAGAACCCGGTGCCCATATGGGATGCTGGCGCCGCAGGCGGAGGATTAGCCAAGTGAGCCATGGTGCCGGCCCCAGAGATACGATTCTGACACTTGGCACAACTGAATTTAACTGTCAATCTATCCTCTGTACCTCCAACAGATCAATCCACAGCTCTACGAGAGTTATTTGCATTTCTGCTCTATCCTTAGCACACTACATACTCAGTGCCATCTTGAAATTGAAGTTTTCAGTTCTACATATAAAAATTTTAGGGACTTCTTTCTGCCTATGTGTCAATCTGAAATCTATACAATAACAACTTTGGCTAAGCTGTATAAAAATTCAAAGACCTGGGGTGGGTGTTTGGCTCAGTGCTTGGGTCTCCACAGAGGGTACCCACATCCTCTCGAGGAAGGCCTGGTGGGAGTCCTGGCTTCCTGCTACTGTGCACCCTGGGAAGCAGCAGATGACTCCTGTCACCCACATGGGTCATCTAGATTGAGTTCCTGGCTGTTGAGGGCACTTGGGGAATGAACCTGTTCTCTCCATCTACCTTTTGGTCTCCCTGCCTTTCAAATAAAATGAATGTAAATAAAAAAATTTTAAATTTTAAAAGATCAGCCCAGAAGGAGCCTTACAAAATCTAGAAGTTAGTAGGAGTTGATTATGTCTATATCTAGCTTTCTAGCTGTTCACAAAATCTGACCAAAACATCAATTTTTAAGTCTTAACTAAATTCACCAATGACTTGTGCCTTGGGATTAAGGTTGATTATTAAATTTATTTCTCTATTTAGACTTTGAAATCTGTAATAGAAAAATCTTGGTTGTCGACATAATGCCTTAATTTACTTAGCCATAAATCTACCTCCATTTTAAACCTGAAATAGTGTACAGGAAACTCTTCAAAAATCAGTGTGCTTTAGAAACATGACTGGAGCACTGTGAGCATATTTTAAATTTAACACACTTTTTAGGATAGGATGAGATTTTTGTACATTTAAGACCTGAGTGGTTTCTACTTGGGCATAACTTTGAGGGAGAGGTTTTTTTAAAGGTCATTTGATTTTTATTTTAGAAAACCACCCTGGCTGCCCAGGTATGCTCATTGTGTGAAAATCCACTGAGCTCGTACTATATTCACCTTTCTGCTTGATTATATTTTTGATTTTAAAACATTAACCAAAAAAATAGGTCTACACAGTTTCCAAGGCAGTGCTATAAATTTTAAGAAGTCATTTAAATGTAATGAAACTTAGGTTAACATCTGGGATATATACATTTGAAATAACAGAGATTAAGTTATATTGTACATTCTGATCAGATTTATAGGGTTTGTCAGTATTCTCTTTTTCCATTGTCAGGGAAAGATGCAATCTTGCAGACAGTCAACAGCCCAATGCCATATGATATCTCTAAAAAAATCCAAAGAATAAAATAGCAAATAACCCATAATAATTATATATCAATAATCTCCCCCAAAAGCTATTATAAAACAATTGTTCTCAGCAGTATCTTTATAAAAAAATTTAAAGGTAAGATGTTTTACTAAAGTTACTTTTGTAAGTCAAATTTTAAAAATGCTTCATCAGTACCTCTTTTTTCTAGCTTTACTAAGGTACAATTGATACATAAAAATGCATATATTTAAATTTATATAATTTAGATACGTGAGACTCATAATACCATCAAATCACACAGTAATAAACAATCCATCACCTCCCAAGTTTCCAGTGTTCCACTTAGTTTTCTTCTTGCAGTTAGAACACTGAGCATGAGATTTATGTTCTTAAATTTTTAAAATGCACAATTACTATACTGTTAATACTATATACTGTCTATAGTATACTATATCCTGTATATAAAATATATTAGTATCTGTTTCATTTGATAAAAATCCATACCTAATACCTGACACTAAAACAAATTTAAGAGAGAAATTGTTTCATGTTTTAAATATAGTTTAACCTGTGAAGAATATAAATCTTAATAATCGTGGGGAACCAGTGAGAAAAAAATAAATGCTCAATTAAGTTGCATACCTTGGCATCCCAGTCTTTATTAAGATAATATATACATGTCACACATCTTCCATCTCCATTTGGATTATCAACATGACGCACGTAACCTGTTCCATTGCCTGGATAACAAGCAACCATGGCCTGTAATAATAATAATGATTTTAAAAGTCCATGTATGAACAAAAAGGGAAAACAGTGTATAAAGCAGATCTCTTGATTTTTGGATACTCCAACTTACACTTAAGTTGTTGTTCTCTTTAACAGAAGCCCTATTTTGTAAAAAAGAAGAGGTAAAACCATTTGACACTGACATTTATAAAAACACACAGTAGGCTGGTGAACAATCTAAATTCTGCTTCACAGCAATGGGAAAAGCCAGCATCAAAGGATCAGAGAGCAACACTGCTATGAACCCTTGGCTATCACAAGCCATTTGCTCTTGCTTAAAACCTTAAATGCCAAAAGGATTTCAAAGTTCCACTTTCACAATATTTATACATATTGATAATCAAGATCAAGTGAGTTTTTGTACCACTCCATGACAGATTTCTCTCCTCAAGTCACCTGTATTACCATCTGACTGGTGGACTGTCAAACACCCTACTGGACACTGTCTCTGAATGCCACCCATTTAAACAGGCAGAATTTAAATCATCAATTGCAAATCAACTCAGTGATTTTACAAAAAATTAAATTAGCCAGTGACTAAGTTCTTTTCAAATCAGAAAGAAAATAGTTTTTTGCTCATATAATAACAAGATATGGTTCAGAAGACTGTGGAGTGTTAAACATGAAGGTGGAAGAGAGATCCCAAACAAACAACACAAAACAACTTACATATCCTAGGACATGACAGCCAAATGAAGTTGGGAAAGGTGACTGAAAAAAAATTCTCAGGAATTCGGAAGCAAACAAAGACAAAGACATTCAAGATTACCAGTTATCCTGAAATCCTTTATTTCTTCACCTATCAAAGTCAATGGCTCAGTATTAAGTTAAAGTCAATGATTTGGTATAAAGTTATCAGACAGTAATTAAATTGCTCTATCATCATAGTTAAGATAAATGATATTACAAATTTTTGAAATTCATATTCAATGGAATATGTAAAAGCTGCTGAAAAAAGTAACTCAGTGGTTTCATCCCCTAGAGAGAACAAAATCTTGCTTTTCCTAAGCACCCTGGACCTACTGCTCTTCATCAACAACAGAAGTTTTGGTGAACAATAATATCCACAGGTCTCTATTTCTCCTGACTCCAGATAGACTTAACAAGTTCCTTCTTTCGGCCATAGAGATTGGTAATAACAGGAAGGAGAATGGCATGAGGGTAGTAGGATTATGACTGTTCAAAAGAAGGTGACTCCAATAATTTCTTTAATTCTAGTTGCCAAAAAAGGGGCATTTTATGCAGCAGAGCCTGAATAATAAACTGTAAGAGGGTACAAATTTCACAATGCAATTAATACATTGTGGTTAACTGAAATAATTATCATGTATTATGGAAAACAATGGGGAACAAAACCCATAAAACCTGAACTCTTTGCTAATATGATCTCAACTCAAAAAAGTTAATTTGAGGGGTGCAGCTGGTTAAGCCACCACTTGCAATGCCAGCATTCCATATCAGAGTGCTGATTGGAGTTCCACCTCTTCTACTTCCGATCCAGCTGCTAGTGTGCCTGGAAAAGCAGTGGAAGACAGCTCAAGTGCTTGGCCCCTGCCAGTCATGTCGGAGATCCGGATAAAGTTCCTGGCACCTGCTTTGGCCTGGCCCAGCCCTGGCTGTTGTAGTTATTTGGGTAGTGAATCAGCAGATGCAATCTGGTTCTCTCCTTCTCTCTGCCTTTCAAAAATAAATAAACAATAAATCTCTCTTATTTCTTAAAGTTAATTTGGGTCTCTCCAACTACTTGATAACCTCAGCATCTCTTGCACAAAGAAAGGAGGGGAAAAACTTTCTCCCATTTACCCACCCCACCCCATCTCATGCATCTATTTAAGAACTACTTTGTAAAGCCTACCCAGTGCCTTCTGAGGCCAAAATGATGAGACTATGTTCCTTGCTTTCATTTATTATATAATCCAGTCTAGTGGGACAAATAGCCAATAAACACATAAAACGTTAGACAGTGAAAAGTTATCTTTTCATAAGATATGAAAAAATAAGTTGAGAAAGGATACAGAAAATGAAGGCATGATATTCTAGAATAGTGGTGACGGAAGTTTGTTCTGAAGAGCTGAGAGTGGAGATTCAAATGAAAGGGACAGCAATTTGTGCAAATATCTGGGAGGGAAGTAAATGTGGTGGAGAGAAAATGAGGGGAAAGGCAGAAATGACTGGGCAGAGTAGAAAACAAGAACTGGCCAGTGTGGCTGGAAGAAGAGTGAGCAAAGGCTAGTACTTATTAGAGTAGACACCAGATAATGCGGGGGTAGGGTCACAGGGTCTGGTAAACCACAGTAAGGACTGGATAGTCTCCTACGAATGACAAGAAACCAGCTGAAAACACGTCTGACTAATGTTTTAAGAGATCAGGTTTATTTTTGTATGAATAAAAAAGCACAACTGTAAAAACCTCAATATAACTCAACACCTAACATTTACTGCATGTTTACTATTTGCCAAGTTCTATTCCCAGCAATTTATGCACAGTAACTCACACAATTATGTAAAGTAAACAGTACTATCATTTCTCACCTCTGTTGAACTATTAAGAGAAATAAAGCCCAGGAAGGCGATTCGTGTCCTCAAACTCACATGACAAGTGAATGCAGAGACTCTGCTTCCAGAATCTAAGTAATTAATCACTATACTGGACTGAAGGCGAAAAGAGAAGACTAAGTTGGCTATTGCAGTTTGCAGGACAGAAACAAAAGAGGCTGAACTCAGAGTGGCAAAGTGGGATGTATGTATTCTGAAGGCAGAAAACCAACGTGACTTGCTGATAGACTGGAAGCGGAGAATAAGAATCAAGGATGACCCTGAGGTTTTCAGTCTATGTAAATAAATACATGGAATCACCATTTAGTAAAATGGAAATGCCAAATGAAAGAGTGATTTTAATAATAAGCGTAGGGTAGGAGAGGAGTTTTCAGCAATGGTCAGGATGAGCTACGGGGTGGCAGTTCAGCTGCCACATGGGACACCTGCATCCCATAGCGGAGTGCCAGGGCCCAGCTCTGCTCTCCGTTCTGGCTTTCTGCTTATGTGCCCTCTGGGTGGCAGCAGACGATGGCTCAAGTGGTTGAGTCCCAGCCACCCATGCAGGAGATCCAGACAGAATTCCTGGCTCCTGACTTTAACTCTGCTCAATCTCAGCTGTTGTAGGCATTTGGGGAATGAATCAACACATGGGAGCTCACTCTCTATCTCTGCATGTGTCTCAATCTCTCTCTCTGCCTTTCAAATAAATAAAGAAAAACTAATAAAAGAAAAGATGAGCTAGACATTTCAGACTAGAACAATACCGAGGACACCAGGATTATGTATAATACACAGGCTCTGTCTGTAACTGTCACTTCTAAATCGCTTTCCTTGGAGTCCTAGGATTAGAGTTGGGAACTGTTGGGGGATGAACTGAGAAGAGGTCAAAAGGTTTGACTCCAACTTTCAACTGAAGGGCAGTGATGAACTGTTTCTGATCTTTGAATTCCAAGTGAAACTTGAAAAAAATAAAAGATGAAATAAGAAAAGTTTTGAAATCTTATAAATTGCAAGGAATACTTTTAGTTCAAGTATGTTAATTTTTACAATCCCTGGGGGGCCAACACCACTTTAGTCTTATCTTGCGTCTGTAGGTCCATTTCATTCTGCTGTGATGATGTGGACACTGAGACATGAAGAAAAAGAAGAAAAGATCCAGTGTTCCACAGGGCCTATATTTTATCTGTCAACTCAGCTTGCTAATGCCAGCCCCAGGAAAGGCGCTAATCCATGACTGCAATTGTAAATAGGATCAAACCAAACATACTAGTGTAACTCTGCAAAACAGAAGGCTTAAAAACAGAAACAATGCAAACCCCCATTTATAATTCTGAGGTATGTTCCCAATCAGCTATCTTGTATGTATTTAAATTGCTTATTGAGAAAAACCTATCTAATAGTTCAATTTCCCATTGAGGAAAACTTATTTCAACATAAAACAATTGAATACTATTTCTTCCTTTTTGATATGAAAATATACATGATTGAGGATGTCCTTAAGATAGGAAACACCATAAATCTGTTTTTCACTTTGAGAATAAAAGGAAGGAAGAGGTTTGCTATACCTCTTTGGAATCAGAAGACATTTATTTCTGGCATTGGAAGGCTTCAATATGAAGTTGAACCAGGAAAATTTTTTTCCTTCTTTATTTGAGATGAATTATTTTAAAACAGAGATCCAAAGGTAGAAGAACTAAAGTATGGTGAGTTACCAAACTAATGCTTTTACAGTGAATGAAGTAAAAAGGCTTACTATCTGAAATTTTATTCTATTAAAACATATTGCCTGAGGGCACACAGCCCTATGCCTTTTATAGAGGTTAATGGCTAACATTTACTAACCACTATACAGACCAGGCATGAGTTATCTCCTTTAATCTCCGCAGCAAGCCTATGAAGTAAGAACGACTAATTTCCCCATTTTAGAAATTAGAAAACTTGGGTGGGCATTGTGGTGTAGTAGGTTGAGCATCTGCCTATGATGTCAGCATTCCACTTGGGTGCCGGTTCGAGGTTGGGCTGCTCCACTTCTGATCCAGCTCCCTGCTAACCTGCTGGGGAAAGCAGCTGAAGATGGCCTGAGTGGTTGGGCCCTCCATCCACATGGGAGACCGAGAAGAAACTCCAGACTCTTGGCTTCAGCCTGGTCTGGAAGCTATTTGAGGAGTGAAGCAGCAGAAGGAAGATGGCTCTCTCCTCCTCTCTGTAACTCTGCCTGTCAAATAAATAAAATCAATTTCTCTCTCTCTAAAAAAAAAAAAAAGAAAGAAATTAGAAAACTTAGCTATGGCGAGAAGAAAAAAACTTGCCAAAGGTCAGAGCAGAGGAAAATGAACAGATACAGTGGAGAAGGAAAAAGAACCTTCTGTGTTCTTCCTCAATTCTTCGCTCCAGGAAGGCTTGCATTTACTCTGCCTCAGAGTTGCAATGAAACT